TCGGGACTCAGGACTAATATTAACAATTCGGTTCAAGAGATTTTGATCACGTATAAGGGATGTTATTTATACTAAAGTATTTTAATAATAAATAAAATATATAATGAAATTCTCTGTAAAAATTTGTTATATGCAAAAATTTATTTATATATTTATTTTTAACATAAAGATGTTTGGGGAGCGAAATTTTTTTCTTTCTACACCGAATGGATATTAATTTCAGAATAATGCTTTCAGTGGCTTATTAATCATAAATTTGGCAAAATTTTCGTTGCAAATATTTTTTTCATTTATAATGGTCATACACTAATAAAGCAAAAAATATGTGACAAATTTTAAAAATGGGGTATAGGGCCGAAGTCTCGAAAAAAATTTTAACCCCCCCCCCCCTCTCCGTAGATAAATCTTCACTACGCCACTGCTCGAGACAATCTTACAACATTATTGATATCAACTTCTTGATAACTCAACTTAACTCATATCTACTTAGATAGCAGTTCTCTAGCGAGGAAAATGGACTAATTAGCCTTGATTGTCAATCTTGTAAGGAATAATTTGACACTATTCCTGTAAATCGATTTTTCAACTCCCACGCCAGAGCTTACTTTGATTACATTAATGAGTGTCTTACAAAGTTTCTTCATTTCAGGAGTTTTACAGATGTGACTCATCAAACCCCGTCCATGAACCTGCACATAAGCCTTAAATAAAGAGATATATTCACTTACAATAGGTGCTTGATAACAAATGCAATTATATGCTTTTCAGTTTTTTTTAGTAAAAGGATAAGCGAACCCCCAATTTAAAACCAAAATATATTTTTTAATTGTGGATTCATATTCTAAGTAGATTGAATATGAAGAAGTTGATGGGTTAACGAACCAAGATTGTCATCAAAGTATTACAAAAATTATAAAATCATTATGTTAGATAGGGTCCGGCCTTTATAAGTAGACATTTTTGTACTTCGCTACAAATAAAACATGTGCTGGTTCCACCATATCATTCTAGCTCAATGGTCAGGATGATAGGATAGTAGCCATAGTGAAAAATTGGATTAAAAAGTTCAAACAAGAAAAATGTGATGTTTGGATGACCCATTTATATTATAATAATTCGAGGAACAGTGAAAGTGTAAGGCGTGCTGAATTATTTTTGGGTCGAAAGACCAAAGTGCCCTTGGATTTTTTAAAACCAAAAGGCAGTGCTATTATATTACCATGTGAAAGAATAAACATAAAAAATTTCCAGTGGAACAAATTATATGGGTTCGTTTATTCGATAATAAGAATAAAAAAATGATGATAAGGCAATATAATAGAAAATGTGGTATGAAATTGAATCGCATACCGTAGCTTTCGAGAAGGGAGCCACTGAGATTCATCAATGACCATATTAAGAGACAAGAATAATAATAAGTGTGTAAATATTATTAAATATAAAAACCAATAACATTAATTTTAATTTTACATTTTTTTTTAACGGTGATCCATTTTGAATTGTACGATGTTTGACTGTGTATTGACCATGTAAATCTATTTATGTGTGAATAAAATTAATAAGGAAAAAATTGTTAATTTGACTATGAGGGTAAATTTATTTGGCTAGTGGGACCTCATTTGGTTAAATTCTATTACACATTATGTATTGAAAATATGATAAAAAATATGTTCTTTCTCAGTGAATTTAAAAGTGTAATGTGATTTGGTATTTAATATAAATCGGTGAGATCTTATCGATTTACCATGTGTTGCACGATCATTTAATATACCCCTCCACATATCTTGTTTTAAAATTTATTTTCCTTAAAAATTTTAATTCATATCCCCTCGAAATTAAATGTTTTAAAAATAATATATATACCGCAAGGATTGTCTATTTTTCTCAAAAAATATATATGCCTACTCAAAAGTATATTGTGAATTCGTATTATCTGCATTATCTTACATGATTAATAAAGTTATTCTTTCATATTAAAAAATTTTTTTATATAGCTATTTTTATAAAAAAAATTACATGCTAACTATTCTTATGAATTTATTTATTTACTAGCTATTAAAAAATAATATGAGTATTTAGATTAGAGATCTGCAAAGTTAGGCCCGGCCCGAGTCCGGTCAATTCTATTTAAGATAATCGGGGCCGGGCCTGGCCGGGCCTAATATTTAAAAAAAATTCGGGCCGGGTCGGGTCGGACCTTGGATATTTTTTTAAATATATCTAAATTTATCAATTTTATATTGAATTTTTTATGTAAAATAAAAATATTTGATTTTATTTATTGAAACTTAATTACATATAACATATGTCTTTTATTTTGAGTAATTATAAAGATTAATTTCTATATTTAAATAAATTCGGGCAGGGCTTGGTCGGTAAATTTTTTTAAAAAAATTTAGGGTTCGGGCCAGACCGGCAAAACTTTTAAAAAAATTTCGGATTCGGGCCGGGCCGGCAAAACTTTTCTAAAAAAAATTTTGGGCTGGCCGGGCTTGAAAAATTAGGCCCGATGCAGATCACTTTTTTAGATATTTTTATAAAAAAAATTTATATGCTAACTTTTATGAATTAGCTATATATACACATTATAAATAAAATTCAAAGTGAATAAAATTTAATATTTATGTAAATATACCTAATATAAATCAATTATAAAATAGGGGATGCTAATATTTTAGTGAAAACTATAAGACAAAAGTAGAATTCGAGAATTCAGATGAAGAATTATAACCCACGAGGGCTTATTGAAAGATAAACATAAACACTGGACATATGTATAGGGGGCATGTCGTAAACTGTCAATAATAATGTTTTAACAAATACACTTTTTAATCATTAGATATCAATCAAAGATTGTAAAATTTTGATTGGACATAATGTATTAGGATTATTATTAATATTTACTTAATAGTAAAAAAAAAATATAGCACTTTTTGATTTTTAGCGTAATTTTGTAAGAAATATTATTTTGTTTACAATTAATTGAGAAATTAGCATTATGATAAAAATGAGTAATAAAATAGTAAGTATCGGCTTTTTAGGGTTTGCCTTCAGTTATATTCTGTCATGTAGGAAATATTAAAAAATTTAAAAAGAATATATTTTTATTTCAATTCTATTTCATTTTCAAATATTCACAGTTTAAAACTTATATTATAGGATGAAAAATAAATCAAAAATTAATATACATATCTCTAGAGAAATTCTTTGATTAAGGTACTTTAGGATACCCAGTGATTGTTATTAGCTATTTACGTAAAGTTTTTAAAAATAAGATCGCTTTTTGGCCAAAGTTCTCTAATGTGGTAATAACGAAGTGTAAAAAAAAATAAGTTTTATAATTGGAAATATCTGTTGTTTGGATGATTTGGGCAGCCTTAATGAATGTGTATTGTGCTATTTTGCAAACGCATCTATGCAAGTATAATCTCATACCAAAGATTACCCACTCGACCAAGGCGTAAGAGTGATATCGTCTGGTCTTTTATTATCAGATATTTAGTTCGATTGTTGGAAGGAAAGGTGGCTGACACTAGCGCCATTAGATTGTTAATTGCAGAGTGGCGGGATTCTTTCCCTAAAAAAATTTGTAGAGTAAGAAGTGACCCTCTACTGTGAACCGAAGTTGCAAAGAATGTATGAGCGTAGTGTGACAATATAGGAGTTAAGGAGTCCTAATGATATTCCGAGTTCTTCAGGAGATGTATATAAAAAATTTATTTTTTTTTCGTGAAATCATTTTTTTCATTTTTCAAAATTTTATGGTTTTTATATTTCCATTTTACGATTTAAAATATTTCATACAAATTAATTTTTTACTTGTAAATTATGTATCTGCAGGGTCACCAGGAGAGGGGGTGGAGGCGCAGGGGCTCTAGCCCCCCCCCCTTCAATTTTGAATTTTTTTTAAATATCAAATGTAATTTTGAAAATATTTTTTCAAATGGATTGTAAAGGCTAGTGAGATCCTGTGTATCTTTATAATATGGAGTTTTAAAAAAAATCATGTTATGTGTCATTATTTCTTAATGATCATGTATAATTTCAAACAATTTTTCCAGTGAACTTTAGAACTACTATAATTTTTATAGATTTTTTTTTATGAATTATCTTATAAATTAGAAAATACACAAATTGTTTAAAATTTTATAGGGTAGGTGTTTTTATCTCGCTTATAATAAGGTTTTGTTTATTAACTGGAAAAACTGATTGATAAATTAATAAGTACTGATCAGGCATTACATATTGGCAGACCCAAATATTCAGTGCTTTCATATTTTTGCTATTGGAGGCCAATCTCGGAAATGACTTCTTATTTTTCCATTTCGTGTTTCTTCTATTATCAAAGTGGTTGAAGCACTAGAGTGTACTACATATTTTTTTATTAAAAATTTGATTTAATTTTATGTCTATAAATATTGTTTGTTCATAGATTTTAAGTATTTTTTTCGAGTACTTTATAAATAGATAAATAAATGTGTGAGATGATTTTATAGAAATAATTGAGGAAGCTTTTTCAAATAGCACGAGTTTCTCGTAGTTTAACTATCAATTTTTATATTTATATGTTTTTATAGCAATTAACTATATTTTAAATTTCTAATATTTATAGCTATATTTTTGCACCTCTTAAAGGCTATATATCATATTGTTGTACTTTTTATAAAATTTAGCCTCTATTTCACATCCCACAAGATGAATATTTTTAAAAAAAGTAGAGGCGTTATTTAGTAAAAAAATAATGTTTAACATCCACTTTTTGAATGATCGACAAGTCTGAAGTCGATTAGAAATTTTATCAAAAGATCTGTTATAAATAGGAAACAATTTTAAGGATTACCTGTAACAGTTCTAAGTTCCAACGACTTTAAAATTAATATTAAACCGTCTACCCAATCAAATATTCAATTTTTTAATTTAATATGACATAAAACTATATAAATATATAAAATAATGGTCATAATATTTTAAAATTTTATAAATAAATTGTCTTATTTTAAAAAAATATAGGTATAATGCAATGTATATAAGGTAAAAAAATATATATTTCGTTTTTTTTACTAAACTTTTTAGCATTTTTAAGGAAAATATCTAATAAAAAAATTATATTAAAAATATTTTTTACAAGCATATAGTCGTGATTGGAATAAAAATAATTTTATATATATATAAAAATGGTGGGGGGAGGTGTTGCGAATTTAATTATTATAAGAAATGACATTTATTTGAATATAATTTGAATTTTTTATACATTTATTTGAATTTTTTATATTTATAATAAATAAAAAACTTGCTTAAAAAATTGATTAAGGAATAAAAATTACAATGATTAAGAAAAAAATTTCAAATAATATTTTTCTGCTTTTGTACAATTTTATAATTTCTATTTCCAAAAAAGAAATAAAAAAAAATGTCTTTTATGTATAAATAATAAATCCAATAAGAATAACTCGGTAAAGAAAATAAATCAGAAAAATGAAAAAGATCTTTTCATATAGGTTCGGATTTTTGCTTTATTTCAATCTTCTGAACTGTCATACCGGGATTCATCTGGATAGCTTCTTGGATGGCTTCCGCCAAAGCCTTATTAAAAGGAAAATAAAATTAGAATTTCAAACTCTAAAATAATCGTGGTCATATTAATATTTTTCCTAAAAATATTGGGCCGTTAGGACTAATTTTAAATATATAATTCAATTTTGTGAAATAAATTGATATATTTTTAAAAAAATTGCAAGAGATATTTAAATAAATTTAGGCCAGAGAAACGAATAATTTTTTAATTTTGGAAAATCGCTCAAACTGAGCCTGGCCAGACAATTTAAAAAATTTAGGACCGGGTAAAATTAGGCCCGATGTAGACCACCAATGTCGATTTTGATTTATTCCGCTTAAGAATCTTAATTTTTGCGAGTCTCCCAGTAAATTTATACATATGTTCTTAAATTTTCGGTTGATTATAAGCAAGCAGCTTATTATGTTTAACGTAATACATTTTTAAAAAAGATTTTTTATTTAAAGATCAAAATAATTTAATAAGAATAAAAACAACTTCATCGTGATCTAAGGGGCTTCCTTCACTTTGAATAGTGATTTTCTGCTCAACTTTAGTTTCTACGACACCATCTTGAACGGTTTTTTGCTTTTCGAGGAATATAGGGAGAAAAAGAAAGATGATAAAAAATCTTAATTAACAACTACTAAACTAAGAATCATTTTTGACAGGAGATTACCCCTGGATTAACAGTTAGCGCCACTTCGTGGCGATGTATACAAAAATGAATGTAAAATTATTATATTTATATCATATTTTGTATGCTTCGCCGTGAATTCGGGGTAATATATTTTAAAATACATATAATAAATTAATCGAATGCCTAGCACCCTAAGCAAAATTTTATATAAAACAAATTTTACCGTGATTGTTTCTACGGTTCTGCTCTTAGAACTAACGGATGCTGAAGAATCGTCATTCCTAACATGGCTATTCGCGAGGTCTTGTGTCGTTGGGTTATAACCATTTACTTTAGAAATCGAGCGTCTTTCCCTATTAATATTTGAAGAACGGGTGGGGGGAATGTGGGGGGGGGGGGTAATAGAATTAAATACACGCAATCTTTTTTTTTAAAATATATATTTTTATTGTCAATCAATTGCTACATTTAAATTATCATCTAAAAATTAAACTTAGATCCGTTTATGCTAGAGACAAATTTTATAAAGCCAATAACCGTATAAATTTATTAAATATATTTTAACATCATTTATAAAATGTTTCAATTATACTCCCATGATTTAATCTATTTTTCATCCGCCATTTTGAAATCGATTATTATAAAAATATCGACGAAGTTATTTTTTTAAAAAATCGATATTATTTCTGATTCAATATATAGCATCACGAAGAGTCAATTTATTGCCAATTTTAAATTAATTCGTGCAAGGGGAAAAGTTTAACAATTTTATAGGCGTTTGAACCTTGAGGGATCCGTCACAGGAATGAAAGAAGATGTAGAAGTAACGTTTGTCCTGATAGGATGGGCTTGAATGACCAGGGGCCCTTGATTGAAAGGTATACGAGTTGTAATGTTTTGCCTAGTAGGGTCAACCCTAAAGCTTTCGGTGGCTATGACGTAAGGGTGAGTCTATTAAAAGGGAGTAAGGGAAATATTATTTAAAAAAAACAAGTTAGACTTGATTTATAGTGATCCGATCTGACACGATTTAACAGGTGATTGAAGATCAACTTTCCTTTATTAAAATCAATAATTCTTAGCTAAAATAAAATCAATATTAATAAAAGAAAAATCGATCACATAAACATATTTTTAAAAATCGATCAGCTGATAGGTGGTCGAATCCCACTATGAATTCAAATATAAAATGTATTTGTCACCAACTAAATTGTCAATCGCGTTATTTTTAAGGATAAGGCCAATCAATCCTGACAGATAAAAATGTACCATGTTTTTTTTAAAATAGTTTTTCCAATGTTCTTATTCTGTAATTTAAAAAAAACTTTGTTGTTCCTTTTTAAAATAGTTTTTAATTTTGTTTATTTTTATACCGTTTTATCTCCTCCCATAACCAATTTTTGGGTTTTGTAAACAGTTTGTTTGACTTGATGTTCTTTCTTGGTGGTGGTTACACTACGAGTAGGTTCCCATTTCCCGCTAAATTATTTTTTAAAATAATTATTGGTTAAATTAATTCAATGAATAATTTAAGAGTGATGCTGAAAATATTCAAAATTTGAGAGATCTCTGTTAATTGTTTCCGTAACCTCATTTTAAAAAAAACTAGTTTGCTTGAAGCAACAAAATGTTTATTTTAAAATTGTAAATATTTTTTCTTCATTTTATTTAGTACAAAACATTTATATAGGAAGTAGTGATGTTAAGGTAACTAGTTACACTAGTTACATTTTGGCTAAAAAATAACTGTAACTAGTTATATTTTTAAAATTGTAACTAGTAACTGTAACTAGTTATAATTTTTGAAATGTAACTGCCTAAAGTAACTAGTTACTTTTAACGATATATTCAAATAATTAATTTTATTTTTAATATTTGTGATAAATTAATTTTAAATTAAATTTATTAATTTAATATTTTGTGAAAATGTCTGATTGTTATAATTTCCCGTTCAAATTGATTTTCTTTTCTTAAATTGTTACATTGCTGCTGGGCTTCATAATTTTGTAAGGAAATTCAAGTAATTTAATAAATTTTAATATTATATTTATTTACAAATGTAGCACAATATATTTTTTTCCGTCAAGTAACAAGCATTGGAACTTCATATCATATGTAATAAAAAAAATTTTTTAGTATAAGGAAAAACAAAGACAGATTATTTTAGAATTTAATATTAAATTATTAATCATTACTTACAAGAACCATGTCTAACAAAAGCATAAGAACATGACTCAAATTTAAAAAAATGATTGCTTTCTGAAATTTATTTTTTGGTCTAGCCTGAATTTTATTTATATTCAAATTATATATAAAATAGACACATTTTAGAACTGTATGTTTCACTCTAATTGATTATTCTATTCCTAATTTAGATAGTGCTATTTATATTTATCTCCTAGATGGAAGAAACAGAATACAATATGGATATGGATTCTGAGTCAGATGAAGAAATTATACTTTCTCCTACAATAATTGCAAAAAAAAATGACCTTCCTTGGCCAAGTTTTGAAAAATATTTTGAATACCACAAGGCTGGTAATAATACTAATATTATTGTCAAATGCCTCTTATGCCTACCATATAAAAAGTATATTGCAGCATCTAAGTCATCCACAGCTAATTTATGGAAACATATCTCTGTAAGTTTATATAAATTGTATTAATATTATATAGAATAATTAAATGAATTAACTTTATAACAATAATTAATATTAATTAAATATTTATATATATAAAACATATATCTATAGAGAAAGCATCCTAACCAATCCGTAAATATAAAACAAACCATAGATAATAAAAAAAACAATTCAGCCACATCAAGTAAGTTAAAACAAACTAAACTTGACTTTGGTGGAAAATCAAATTTTAAAGGTATCAGCAAAGATAAATTTGATTCACAAATTATTAAATATATAATAAATGGAAATCACCCATATACAACCTGTGATGATGAAGATTTTGTTGAGCTGATAAACACCCTGCAACCTAATATGAAGATTATATGCAGACAAACCTTAACCTCAAGAATATCAAAATATTTTGTTCAAATGAAAGATATTCTAATAGAAAAATTGTTAGAGCCTAATTATGTTTGTACAACAGCTGACTGCTGGACAGCATTTAATCGGTAAATATTATTTTTTACTAAAGTGCACAATACATTTGGTTATCTTTTGTTATATTAATAATAGCTCCTATATTGGTATAACAGTGCATTGGATTGATGTGGAGAAATTGGAAAGGCGTTCAGCTATTCTAGCCTGCCAAAGACTACAAGGTAGGCATACATATGATGTGATCAGCAAAGCCTTAACTGCTGTTTTTAAGGAGTTCCATATCCAAAATAAAAATATCTGCACAATAACGGATAATGCTAGCAACTTTTCAAAGGCGTTTAGGTATGCCTAACTAATTTACTTTATAAATTATTTCTCTTAGAGTATTTAGCTGCCCATCTATTATAATGGAGGAAGATTCTGTTTCTGATATTGAATATATCTCAATAGAAGATATAATGTCTTCTTCTGGGCTCTCCAGTTATGATATTAATGACTTCGACTACCTTCCCAAGCATCGAAGATGTTCTTGCCATACATTAAACTTAGTGGCAACACAAGATGCCAACAAGTTACTTTTAAACAATGAGGGGTATAGGAAAGTTTATAACTTAGCTATATCTAAATGCCAACGTTTGTGGAACCTCCAAAATAAATCTGGGCCATCTGCCGAACTTATTTTAAAAAAATTACATTCTCAACTCCCATATCCCGTTATAACAAGGTGGGGTTCCTTTTATAAATCCCTGGCCAAAATATTATCGTTCTTAAATCAAGTGCCTGTGGAATTTGATTCATTATGTGATGAATTAAAATTGTGTAGATTCACATCAGATGATCGTGATTTTATAAAAGAATATTGTAGTGTAAATTTAAATTAAAGTCTTATAAAAATTTACAATTTAAAAATTAGATTATGCGACCAGTGTCCAAAGCCATTGATATTCTTGAAGGTGAAAAGTACATGTATCTGGGTTATTATACCCCAACAATAACACAAATAATTATATGTATGGCAGATGTGCAGGTATTAAAATATTGTCAACCTCTAAAGGATACTATATTAGCTAGTATTGAAAAAAGGTAACTTAAATCAAATAATTATTTATAAATTAATAATATCATGTTATAGGTTTAATAATCTTTATGATAATGACAACATCATTGCTTCAATTCTTCACCCTTTATTTAAAACTGACTGGCCTTGGATTAGGCAAGAAAGGAATAAAGCAAAAAAGGAGGAAATTTTAAATTTAATAAATACCTTAATACCTCAGAGTGAATCCCAGACGAATGAATCATGCTCAAAACCAACATCACTTGATGTAGTTGGATTTTTTGACCTAAAGTGCCAAAATATTCTGGATAATGAACTTATAGAAAACTTTATCAAATCTAATAACAACACGTTTTCTTTATATAACGATTTTCCAAAGTTAAAATTACTCTTTATTAAATATAATGTTGTTCTAACATCAAGTGCTCCCGTAGAGCGCTTGTTCAGTCTAGGTAAGCTCATATTTGGAGATAAACGAGCACGTCTTCTAGATAATAACTTTGAAATTAATTTGTTGTTAAAAGCAAATAAACATTTATTAGATTCTAATTTTTATGAAAAATAAATGTTTTTTTTTCAATGCAAATATATATTTTTGTATTCGATGTAAATATTCAATTTTGTGATATTTTTTATATAAATAAATTGTATATTATTTAATAACTGATTATACTTTGTTTTTTTTTATATTAAATAAATGTCAATAAATAAATAATGCGCATATGAATGATGTATAAAGTAAGTAACTAGTTACTTTTGAAAATAACTGTAACTAATAACTAGTTACTTTTGTAAAAATGAAACTAGTAACTGTAACTAGTTATGTTTTTGCCAATGTAACTAGTAACTGTAACTAGTAACTGTAACTAGTTATGTTTCAAAAGTAACTTTTAACATCACTAATAGGAAGGGTAAAAAAATGGCAGGGCAGTTATTTTAATTCATAGACGGAGCCATTGTTTATATGGATCGAACCAGTTTTCACTCTTTCTGTAGTATTATTACATAATATCAATTATGGTTAAATTGTCTTTATTAAATAATATTCAAATTAGTTTAATATAAAACTACGTTCTTTATAACAATTTTAAATTTACAAACTTTATTACATTTTGCGGCTATATTATTTTATATAAAAAGACTTGAATTTAGATGATCATTACTGATAGTTAAATAAATACAATTATATGAAAACCCTCACATCCCAATGCCACTACTGATCTAATTCTATATTTTTTCTTTCTAACTCGTATACAAAAAAAATCTAAACGGGCTAACCCATGCAGACTCTCTAATAAATAAGGTATCGAGAAGTCTCAATTAGTTAAATAAATTTAAATTTTACGTTTATTATAACAAAAAAAATAATTACCCTTTTTCAGATTCGACGTTTTTGTTAGCGAAATTTTCGTTTTCGGCGTTGTAATGAATGGGTGGTAAGTCGGCTACTCTGATATCGTCAACAAACTATTCGAAGTTTATTTAAAAAATTATATAGATCAATATTTAAGAATGGTGTTATTAAATCAACATATTTTGTATACTTAGACGAAAATTCGCGCTATGCAGTACTTAAAAATTAGAAGAAAATTTAAGAAACATTCTTTTTTTATAGATTCGCTAAGAAGGAATTAAAAGCAGAAAATTGACGGAATTCCTATATTTAAAGCCATAATCAAGCTAATCTAGTTATTTTAGGCCTTTCTCCCCTTTTTTCAAGGTTGATCGTAAATGTTTTTATTTATGACTTCTTTAGGAATGCAATAATTATAAATATAAGAGAACTTTGAAATAATTTAAAATCTGATTTATAAATAAAATGTATCCTTAAAAAATAATAATATTCGGATATATTTTGAACGTTCTAGAATGCTCCGAAAGAACCGGAACTTATATCAGCTCAACTGGAACCTTAATGTGGCTCAAAAAAATCCGAATTTCTTAATTATTATTGGTGAAAGGGGTGACAAACCTCCGGTCCTGCGAAATCATCACTATCGTAATCGTCGTCTGACCTATAGCCTATCTCCAGTTTTCTTTCAAACAAATTTCCATTGTTTCTTAAAGTAGAAACCCGAAGACTCCCAAGTTTTGATTCCTTGGACATTATATCAAGGGGGTTTAAACTTTCGTCCCCGACAAATTCCAAATTTGTAGCGTTTTGAAAGCTGTGTCGCTTGGAAACGACCGGGGGATTTTCTTGTGGCAAAAAATTTCGAGGCGACGAAAAGGGTATTTGGTCGATACCGTAGGCGTTTGTACTATTTTTAGATAAGTTAGGGGAATAGGAAAAATAATTTTCGCCTTCTTTCCCTTCCCTTAATTCCTCTACAATACATCCAACTCTATTATAGTTGGGGTTGTCATAATTTTCGGTGGTCTCGACACCGCCTGACATGAAAGAGTGGGTCTTCAAAGGAATGGGTGGCGCTTTCCTGGAAGGAGTTGGAGGTGGACTTTTGCTTCCCGCGAGTAGCTTGACAGAAGGAGAGTCCGAAGTGTAGGAACTTCGTCTAGCTATTATAGGAGCTGTTATAGAAATCGTAGGAGTTACCGGAATCTCTTGTTGAAAGTTTGTTGTTATAAGTTCCTTAATATATATTATAAAGTATGAATAGCAGTGGCTTTAACTACGGACAGAAGGGGAGTAACCGAATTGTTTAAAAGTGTTTTTAATCCCTCTGCTTTCATATATATTACAAAATATTCATTAGACGAATCTTTCTAAAAAAATATAACGTTTCCCACTTAAAAAATAAATTGATAATTGAGTTGGATCATCTTTAGATTTAATAATTCAGCTATTACTTGACACATATCACAAATTATTTTTTTAACTGTTAAGAGATTATATTATTTATATATTATTGAATAACTACTTTATTTTCCTTAACTTAAAACAATAACCAGTTTTATATTTTATTTAACTTAAGCTTTTTATAAGAATCATTCAAATTCTTATTATTTTAAGTTTAAAAAAAAAATTTTTTATACAACAATGTTTACTTTATTTTTATTTTTATTATTCTAATTTTTATTATTTATAAGAAATGAATAATTATTCATTCTATACATTTTATTTATTTTTTTAATAAAATTTTCATTTGATATTATTCAATAAAGTTTATTGCAAAATTCCGTTTAGTTGCAATTCCGCCTGGTTGTTTATTAACATTCATTTTATAGAAGTGGAATTCGACATATTTTCTAATTTTTTCAACTATGAATAATTCTTGATTCTTCTGCTTGCTAAACTCCTCTCTTTTTTTTACTGATTTCTCGTATGTTTATGATCAAGATTATTAGTTAGCCATTTTAGGGCATTAATTATGTTCCCTACTTTGCCCTGTCAATTAATTATATTTGTTCGTTCCAAAATTATACAGTTATTTTTGGATGCAGGATTTTAAGTTGATATATCGTTCTACAATGTGGCCCCTATAAATCTTCAAAAAAAAAATCATTTTCCCAGATATTCCTTTCATATGATGCTGAATAGTTAAGGTATCCAGATGTTGAAGCATTCAGGAACTATAATTATCAGAGACCTGCAGGCCCGGCCCTAAGCTAAAAAAATTTTTTTTAAATATATCCGGGCCAGGCCGGGCCTAAGATTGTTAAACCCGGGCCGGGCCTTAATATTTTTTATAAAAATTTTTACATTATGAGTTAATAATTATAAGATTATATTATATTAGTTATGATTCATATAATATTGGGTGATGGTTAACACACCTAACACCCACAGATCGATCTAATAATTAATTTCCTGCAAATTTATTCAAAGTATTAATATATTTTTTTATAATTCATATCTAAATTTTTACAACATATTTTACCAAAACAATCAAATAAAAGGAATATCTTAAATAAGCCACAATATTCAAGTATTAATAATATATTTTTTATAATTCATATCTAAATTTTTAGAATATTTACCAAAATAATCTGATAAAGGAATATCATGGCACAAAATACTAATGATATAATTAATAAAATTAAAATTAATATTTATTCTTTTAGAAATAAAAATAATAATTTAAAATCTGAAATATGGGCTAAATTTAACATCATCATAGATGAAAATAAAAAAAAACATTGGCTACGTACAATGTAAGAAGTGTTAAAGTATATTATCTTATAATTATAAACATGGTATATCACATCTAAAAAGACATAAATGTGATGGTAAATCCATGAAAATTAATAATTTATTTTTACACCTGAAAAACCAACCTATAAATGTAATATAAAATATTTAAAAATTATAAAATAAATTATATTAATATTGTGCAATTAGATTTTTCAAAATACTATTTATTATACATGCATTTTTTTAAATAGCGATTTATTTTTATTTTATAAATTAAATAAAATAAAATATATAATATTCTCAAAATATTTTCCATTTTTATAAATTAAATATTAGTTTTATTTTTTTAAATGCAATATAAAATATAGTATATGCTCAAAATATTATTACCATTTTTATGAATATTAGTTTTATTTTTATAAATGCAAAAAATATAGTATATGCTCAAAATATCCATTTTTATAAATAACAGTTTTATAATTTTTATAAATTCAATATAATATTCTCAAAATATTAGCTTTTTTCTTGTATTTTTTAAATAATAAGCGATAATACTCGCTGAAAAATATGGTAAAATACCTCATAGGTGAATTTTTGTATATACCAGGTCGAATATAATTTTAAAAAATTCCGAGCCGGGCCTGAAATTTTTTTTAAAAAAATATCCGGGCCGGGCCTTAAATCTTTAAATCCGGGCCGGGCCGGGCCGTAAAAAAATTTTTTAAAAATTTCCGGGCCGGGGCGGGCCTAAAAAATTTAAAACCGGGCCGGGCCGTGCAAATGGTGCCTCTGCAGGTCTCTGATAATTATTATCGATAATATATTTTAAACAGGAAAAAAAATTGGAGGGTGCTGCACACCTTTGTCGCGAGAAGAGCAGTGACTGATCAGTTTTGAAGTGTGTGAAATGTTTTTATAAACAAGCAATTTCTCCGAAATCATCAAAAAAAAATTTCATCAAATATAATATATATTTTTTTTATTAGTTTGAAAATCTACCATATGAGAAAAATAAATGAACAATCCCAGAGCATTAGGGATGCTGGATAATATTTTAATATGGGAAATATTATATACCATTTTTTTAATAAAAAGTTTGCCTCCTGAAATGTAATTATGTTATGACAAATAGAGTAATAAATGTTTATATTATATTAACTCTTATAAATTTATCGAGATTTATATAGATTTGACAATTCGTACTAAAATTGTCGAGATATTGTCAGTCCATTTTAAAAAAAAGTTAACCTTTTTAGGGCTCGTTTCGTGAATAGATTCAATTTTTGGTAGGTTAGATTTATGAGAAGAACTCTTGCTCCTCCCTTTTTTAGAGGATGGAATTTTTGAGAGATTTTTTGAATCCTCTTTAGAAGAGTGTTTTCTGTCATCTTTCGTGTTCTTTGTATCAATTTTATCCTTACGACCGCTGGTAGAAAAGCCTGTTATAAGAATTTATATATAATTCATAAAGTAATTAACGATTGATTTTTTTGTATATAGATATGATTCAAATTCAAATTTATCTTAAATTAAGAAGAGTTTTTTGAGGGGTTGTTAATTTTAGGCAGATAGGGCAATCTATTACTAAAAATATTTTACACCATAGCATATTTATAAATAAACTGAGATCATTTATTATCGTAATAAAAAAATTATTCTTTTATTTTTCTGATAGGATCCCAATTATACTTTAAACCACAACCGTTAAAACAGAGGGACAATTTTTATCAATGCATAACATTAGTTATTATAGGTATACCGTTACCATTTTTTGGAGGCCGATCCGATCCAATATTAAATCGATATCAGCCTATTACCGATTCAATAATCTGATTTTGCATTCGGCAAACATGCTAATCGTTTTAATTTTTAATGCTTACATCTACTAAACTCATATACTTTTTAATAATATAATCTATAATTTAAACAATAACAATAAGTCATTTAAATATATTATAATGATCAATTATACTTTATATTCATGAATCTAAAAGTATATATTTTTATTGATAAATCTCTTATTTATATAATAGAATTAATCTATTTACATTAATACGTAATAAACAAATATATTTTGAAATTTGAAACTAAATTAAAAAATTAAGACGCCATTTTATCGGAAATTTTAAAATATAAGCCGATAACCGATATTTTTAAAAAAGATGAAAAATCGGCGATATTCGATCAAAAATATCGGTGCATCTCTATTGTTTACTAATATGTTTCTTAGAAAATGCCAAAAATTAAAAGATACAAAATATATTACTATAGCCCATATAAAACAAAATATCTAACCCAATCTAGAAAATAGTCCCTGATTGGTGGGGCCTTTATCCTTCTTAGATGTGGCTTTGAATGCGTCCATTCCACTTTTTATGTTCTGTTGTTTAGGTTCAATATTTTTGGGCTCTTGCTTGGTGATGGTCGTGGCATGTTTATGCTTGTGGTGATGATGATGATGATGCTGCTGCTTATCGTCCGGAATTGGAGAATGAGTGACGTCTAAATAAATATGTTAAAAAAGCGTTATATTTGAGTTTGAACACAATTTTGGACTATCTTCTGAGGAAAATCCCTTTTACCAATTTTTAATAAGTAATAGTAGAGGATAAATTATCATAATCCGATGTGCTGGCTAAAGAAGTGGCGCATCTCTGATCATAACTGAAGGCCGTGCTAAGGCTAGACCGAAAGATAAGCAAAAGGGGAGATCCTTCAATGGACTGAAATGTTATGGACAAAAAGGCTCAGACAAGTACCACATAAAAAAAATAACTCGATTTTCAAAAAAAAATATTAAATGCTTCTTAAAAATGTGAAGATTATACCTTTTTCAAGTATTAAGTTAAATTTCTAAAATTTAGGTATTTTTGCCGTGGACATTTCTAATAAAAATTATAAAAGATCAGAAAACCTTTATGGTAAATATAGAAAAGAGATGACTCTTCCAAAATCTTCTACGTTAAATTATAACGCATCGACCAATGTGGTCATAATTTTTTATGTATGAAATTTAAAAAAGAAAAATTACCGTGTTAAGGCGTGATTTCTTAATATTAAAAATATCTTATTTCCTGCTAGTGGCCAAATGGTACGTTTTAGAAGTTACCGTGCTTTTGGGAAAAATTAAATTAAGTTGGCATAGTGTCGTTATGTATACATTGACAAAAATAGATTGTGCTGTGAATGAAAGAGTAATGAGATAACATGAAATGATATCTAAGGATGATTCGTATTATTTACAGCGCTATAACCTATGTTAAACTAAAACAAAATAGTCTTTAAATTTCGCTCTTTGGAAGAAGGAGATAGAAAAATAATTAAGTATTGGGGGGGGGGAATTTGGTAACAATAAAAATAAGATCTTTTTTACAAAAGAAATTTTTATGCCGTTTAGATTCGATATTTAAAATTTTGTAAATTAATTCTTTTTCTTCTAGCTTACAATATGGATGGATGAAGATAATTAGCTATAAGAGGAGGAAGCAACTGGTATACAAGTGTAAACCTCTATAAAGAAAATAGAAGGTAAATTGTTACCATTAAAAATTAGAAAATTTTCTTTTTCCTAATAAATTGATTAAATTTTTGTTAAAATAAATATATAACTTAAAATTTCTCTACTGCCATGTTCATGATGGTGTCTGTCAGGCTTAGAACATTTTTCGGGCCGACAAGAACTAGTAGTGGTATTGACTAAACTAGTGTTCGGATCTGGTTTTTGGTATTTAATCGTTTGGACCACCAAGGCCTCCTTTTCAACGACGAGGTATTCGGGACCAACAGGTGTGTTTTTATTAACTTTGGAAGTTTCGGTATTTTGGGGATCATGTTGTTTAAAGTTTTTGGTAGGGGAAGGGTTGCTGGAGGCTTGAGATAAATGCGATAAATTAGGTGAAGAAAGCATATTTTGAAGCTTATCCTCCCACTTGGGCACGTAATCCGTGATGGGTTGTTGTTGTTGGGGGGATGTAAATGGTTTTCTATTTTTTGCTGGCGATGTAAGTAAATTATTGTTAGGGGAGGAACCTTGTGCTACTCTCCTCAGGGATAATTCATCTTCATGTTGTAGAACTAAATATAACATATATAATTATGTTAGATAAAAAATTTGGCACTTCCTTTAATTTAAAAAAAATCAAGTCAATCAAATCTATTAGTGCAAGCTAACCATTATTCTGTGGTGAATTGGTGACGTGGATGGGAACATTCCTCTTTGGTGATGTGGAAAAAGAGTCCTGTCTAGGGTCGAAGGGAGAACCATTTTGGGTACCCCCTCTGGGAATAGACATTAACACTGGAGACTTTTGAACGGTTTCAAAATCCCGCTTACTCAACAGCAAAGGAGGGGACGATGGAGAAGCGGAACCGATCATTTCCTCAGCGATACCGCCTGTTTTTTGATGGCGATCATTGCAGATGATTATGGGATCATTTTTGTTAAAATTTTGCTGCTGTTGAGCTAAAAATGCAGGATCCTGCAGTTGATTATTTAATAATAAGGTGATATCGGAATTATCCGTTTTGTAATCGATATTTTTGTTGTCCACCAGCAAATGTGAGATGAATGATGAATGACTAGAGGGGGAACGGGCTTCCTTTTTGGATAGAGACGAAGATTTTTCAACCCTCTTAGATTTATTAACATTCTTGACCTCTGGTGACTTTATCTTGATTTTTTTTAATAAGTATATTTCAATTGAGAATTGGAAGAGAATTAACTGACTTTAAACTGTCTTTATAGCAGATACCTACAAACCCATTAAATCCTGACTGAGCTTAAATACTAAATACAAATCCAGATTGGATAGAATTAATTTAAAAGGATGGATGATTTAAATATATATTTGTTTTATCATTTTCTTTTGAAACAGAATTAGGTACCAAGTTAAATAAAATTAAATAAGTTAGGACGGCTATGAAATAAAATATAGTTCTTACTTATCAGCTAACATGATTTTAAAAAAAGTAAATGGTTTTCCCTTAAATTTGATTATTGAATGGAATTAGATCCATACAATATCAAAGCGACAAAATATAGTTAAAACAACGTTGATAAAAACCTTATCACTCTTGGACTTGTCCTTGGAATCCTTCCTTTTTCTATTGCCACCCTCGGCCATAAAGACGGACATCTTATTATACCCTTCACCGCTTTGATTGATACTATTCTTTGTAATGGTATCGACCGCGTGACCTTTAATTAAAAAATATATATGTTAATATATTATTTTTATTATTGGCAAGTAAAAAAAAATTTTTTAATATTAGTATATAAACCTTGACAATAATCAGCCGAAATATCAGCAGCTTCCCCGGTTTGAAAATGGTGATGGCACATCCTATGTTTGCATTGGCCACACCTATCCTCTTTTGTATGGGTTATGGGGTTCTTCTTTTCCCAAAAATTAAATCCGCTAAATGAGTGTTTCTTGGGCATATTTTGAGGAAGGCTGGAGTGATCAAGACCATTTACATCATGGTGATTGGCAGGGTATTCTTCGTGGTGATCAGTAGAATATTCATTGTGGTGATTTGCATATTTATCATGGTGATTAGTAGGATAATCATGGTCATGATTAAACTTAGCTTCAGAATTATTTACGGGAACGTTGTTAACTCGTTCTGTAGATGTGATAGGGTAATTTTTATTATAACTATTGTTAGTATCATTCATATAAGTGTCATTATGAGCGCGCTGAATGTCGAAGATAGGCGGCGGAAAGCGTTCGAGATATTTTTCCCTGGGATCTAATGAGTCTTGGGGAGTCCTGGATTCCAGATAATTTATGAGTTTATTTTAATACATAAATAAGGGAAATTTTGGATGATGATCGTATTTTTCTAACAAATATTTTTTATTCATAAAATAGTTATCAGCCCAAAAAATTATCACCATCTATAAAATAACTTCCTGAAATTAAATAAAAAACCTTCCAATAACCTTAAAAACAAGTTTTAAGCACAAAATTATCCTTTCAAACTTCGGCCTTAAAAATCTCTCAGGCGACTCATTCTCAAGCCATCTAGGGAAGAAAGCGCACATAATATCCCTCTATAATCTGCACCATTTGATAGGTCATATTACTCAATTTTTTTTAACTGGTCTTATTTCAGGTTGCTGAATTTTTTTGAACTTCTAAAACATTTTTTTATAGCTGATGAAAAATATTATAACTTGTTTGTAATCCCTGTATTTAATAATATATTTATACCCCAGGATTTATTCATTTAAATTATAGATGTACCCTCTATATATACCAACTCTCCTATACATACTCTCAAAAGTACATTTGTTCAAATCAGAATTCAGACAAAAGAAAGGAGCATTTAACTAAAAACCCTGAAGAACCATAATGTATGTAAGATATACACCATATTGTGCCAGATCCGGTGCTAACAGAAAAGCTGAATATATCTCTAATTTAAATGAAAATTGTTTTTATAGATATGGTTACTTAATTTAACGAATATAAAATATTCACAAAATATTATATTACAACTGTTTTTCAAAATAAAAGAAAAAGATATATTTATATGAAATTCTAAGTAAAATATTTGAATAAAAAAAATATATTATCCTCGCAACGTGAAGTTACTTAAATTGAATAATTAAGTAAGAAAAATCAAAATGTTCTGTATCAAATTATTCAAATAAGTTCTTATAAATGTATGAAGAAAATTAAAATGTAATTTAAAAATGCCATCCAATGACATAATATAAATATTTCTATTATATAACAGTTTTAATATAAAAAAATGGATCCTCTCTCTATCCATGTTATATATATAATTTACCTAACTACGTTGTGTCCAGTATTCATATCTGAATTTATGCTATTCTTGATGTTATCAAGATTAGATTCCAAGCTACGCCTAGAAGCACCAGCCAAAACTTGCTTGTAAAAGTCTCTCTCGTTTCCCGTTTCAGTATCCCTTTACAATAATATATTTAAAAAAAATTAGTACGAAAGGGAAAAAAATGAACGTTACATTAAATACAATATTTTTTTAGTGCTTTTGAGAATAATTTAATAGTTGTTAAAATGATTTTTATAGTAAGGTTACCCTTAGATAAATATTAAATAATCGTTATTATATTGCTATAAAAAAATTTTAGAAGAAAAACTTGAAAAAAAAATCAGCAACCTGAAATGAGACCAGTTTAAAAAAATTGGGTAATATAGCCTATCAAAGCGTAAAGATTATAGAGGGATATTATGTGCGATTTCTTCCCTGGGTGCTTTGAGAATGAGTCGTCTGAAAGATTTTTTAAAAGGCCGAAGATAGAATGGAAGAAAAATTCTGCGCTCAAAACTTGTTTTTTTAAGATTGTTGGATGTTTTTTATAGACAGTGGTAATTTTTTGGGCTGCTAACTATTATATGAATATAAAAAATTTGTTAACATTAAAATAACTCATAAATTATTCTGAAATCTAGGACTCCCCAAGACTACTAGATCACGTGAAAAAATATCTCGAGTGCTTTCCGCCGCCTATTTTCGTTATTCAGCGCGCACATAATGACATGTGTGTGAATGTTATTAAAAATAATCTTAATAAAAATTAATTAAGCTGAGGCTAAACAAAACGAGGAATATTTTAATCACAATGATAAATTATCGTGCAAATCACCATGATGTAAATGGGCATAGTCCCGCCAGCCTTCCTCAAACTATGGGCAAGAAGCACGCGTTTAGCGAATTTAATTTTTGTGAATAGACCTTAACCGATACCAAAGAGGATAGATATGGCCAATGCAAACATAGGATGTGCCACCGCCATTTGCAAACCGGTGAAGCTGTTGATATTTCGGCTGATTATTGTCAAGGTTTGTATAATAATACTTTAAAGTTGTTACTTACCCATAATAAAAATAATATATCAACATATAAATTCTTTCAATTAAAGGTCACGCGAAACCATTAATATTACAAATACAAGAGATAGTGTCAATCAAAAAGGTGAAGGGTAAAACAAGATGTCCGTCTTTATGGCCGAAGGTAGCAGTGGAGAAAGAAAAGATTTCAAGGACAAATCTAGGATAAGGTTTTAACTATATTTTGTCGTTTTGATATTGTGTGGATCTAATTCCATTTCAGTTATCAAATTTAAAGGAAAACCTTTAACTTTTTTAATCATGCCAGCTGGTAAGTAAGAATTGTATTTTATTACATAGCCGTCCTAATCTATTATATATATATTTCATCCTTTTAAATTAATTCTACCTAGCCTGGATTTGACTTAAGCATTTAAGCTCGGCCCAGAATTTATGAGTTTGTAGGTTTCTACAACAAAGACAGTTATAGTAAGTTAATTCCCTATTCCCAATATGCTAATATAAGTATTAAAAAAAAAATCAAGAAAATATCACCAGAGGTCAAGAATGATAACAAATCTAAAAGGCTTGAAAAATCTTCGTCCCTATCCAAAATGGAAGCCCATTCTTACTCGCTCCCATTTGCTGATGGATAATAAAAAATCGATTACAAAACGGAGAATTCCGATATCACGTTATTGTTAAATAATCAATTGCAGGATCATTAGCTCAACAGCAGCAAAATTTCAACAAAAATGATCCCATAATCATCTACAATGATTACCCTCAAAAAATTGGCAGTATCGCTGAAGAAATGGTCCGCTTCTCCATCGCACTCTCCTTACTGTTGAGCAAGTGTGATTTTGAAATCGTTCAAAAGTATTAATGTCTATTCCCAGGGGGAGGAGCATCAAAGATGGTTCTCTCTTCGATCCTAGACGGAGACCTTTTTCGATATCACCTAAGAAGAATGTTCCCATTCACGCTACCAATTCACTACAGAATAATAGTTAGCTTTCACTAATAAATTTGATTGACTTGATTTTTTTAAATTAAAGAAAGTGCCAAAAGTTTTTATCTAACATGATTGTACATATTATATTTAGTTCCACCACATGCAGATTAATTTATCTTAATATACCCGAGCTGTGCCTAAATCTATCCATGTTAGTGTTGTTAAACGGCTCGATTTGAACCGAATTCTAAAAACGGCTAACTCAATATTTTAGTCAGAAAAATATTATCTAAGCCTTGAGATTTCGCTAATAGATGTTCAGCCCTTTGTGCCACCTATAAGCAAAATCTTAAGGCTTGTATAATATTTTCCCTGATAAAATATTGAGTTAACCCGTTTAACAACACTACTCCATATATCGGCTTCCTTATCATCCAGCACTAAATTCAATGAAGCTCTAAGATTCTCTCATATCTTTAACTCTTGATCCCATTCTTGACATATGGAATAGAAACGCGTCTTATCAACCTCGGAATATACTGTGAAATAGTGTTAAGAGCTCATTTTTTATAATGGCTAACTCAGTATTTTTTCCAAAACAATATTAGGCATGCCTAAAGATTTTGCTCATAGATGACACGAAAGTTTACATCTATTAGCAAAATCTCAAGGCTTGGGCAATATTTTTCTGGTTAAATATTGAGTTGCCCGTTTTAAAAATCGGCTAAAATCGAGCTGTTAAACAACATTAATGTGACATCAATATACCTACTATCTATTCACTCTGCAATAGGCCATATCGCTATACTCGTGCATAATCCCCATTCCTAATATTTCAAGATCAAATTCAAAATAAATATGCTATAAGTTTAATAGTAACTAGAATATTGAAGTTCATCAATATAACGTCCTCTCTATACCTGTCTTCACCTACCCTGACACACAATCAATAAAAACTTTCTTGGTTTGAACAACGATAAGATTTAGCTATTATAAGAACATATGAATATTTAAGAGAGTAAAAAATACTTGAGCTGTGATTCAGGTTCCTGGTCCAATTCCCTCGTTAACGTTGATATTGTTTTGTTGTCAATCCCATCATTAAAATATAGTGGAGGTCTTATTGCTAATAAAATAAAAATATTTTAAATATGTTTTACAAAAAAAACAGTAAGAACAAATTTCTCCATGTTTTAAAGGATGTGATCTAATTCGTGTTTAATTAGAATCATTAGTATATAAGAATATCTTAAAATAATAATACTAGATGTAATCAGCCCTATAAGTAATGGGAATATTTCGAGTCGGACAAGATTTTGTAGGATTCTAACTGAGGTCGACATTACCAATATTAACATTAGACATATATTTTTTTTGTATAATATTGAGTGGCGCTTTTTTAAATTAATGAAAGTTTTATTATTATCCTTTAGGTACCATGAGTTTTATAATATCGACACCGAGTAACCCCTCAATCACAGTTAGCGCAAATTTGCGGCAAAATTACAAAAATTTTGTATACTTTGCCACGAATTCATGTTAACTGTGAATAAAGGATAAATACTCGGATTTATACAAAAAGCTGTTCACTCAAAATTTACTTAAATAAAAAGCATGAAATAAAAATCGACGAAATTTATATAAAGAAAGGAATATTTTTCGGATAAGTTAAATAAAGATATCCGACCATTTCCAACATGAATATTTAATTTATAAAATACAAATAATTACGTTCGTCGACACTTCTGAGGGTCCCCCTTAAGCTGCTCCTCTCGAAATGGGGGCTAGGTCTGTCTATTCTACCGCTAGCTTTTCGGCTTTGGTATTGAGTCCTTCCAGAATACCTGAACTTGGAGCCTAGCTTGGGCCAAAAGTAATTCTGATTATTCGCGGAATACAACTTGTTTTGCTGATCTTCTGTCACGTGATGACCTAGACCAGAACCAGGCCGAGACTTGTCCCGGTATATCGTAGAACTTCCTGCAAAATAAACGAAAGTCAAATGAAATACTAATAAAGGAAGTGAAGACCAGAAAAGGTAGATGATATAAATTTTGAGAGAATGTACATTTTAACCGATAATTTATATTTTGCGAATTTAAGAAGATGAATAATGATTTATTTCTGAAACATCTTTTATTTTTTATATAAATATTTACGAATTTAATTTTGTCAATTTACTTCTTTTTTTTATTTTTTGCGTAATTTTATATAATTTGCTTATTCAGGCTGAATTTATTACAATTAATTTATTATACATACCTCTAAGTGATGAAAAGTATTTAGAATTTCTTCCCGACATCCCACCTACTCCGTTGCCGATTGTTCTGTCGATATTGAAAGGAGCTAGGAGTCTGAAAAATGTGTGATGTTCTACGCAAGTTTTCCAAAGTCTCTTAGCCAAGTTGTGGTCTTTGAGTTTAAATCCCAAAACGTTCTCTACATCTTCGTACTGTTTTTATTTAATACATTATAATTTTTTTTAATAATAGTTTTGTAATTTATTTTAATGTCCATTAATAATTCAGAAAATCAAGTTATTATGTAAGGTTATTTTGACCTCCAACAATATATTTTCTAATTTTTCTCATTCCATTATACTTTTTTTCTCCTTATCTATTTGATCTCACAACAAACTTTTTATATAGCTCTCTGCACAAGGGTGTGTTCGCGGTAGACGCGATGTCACATAATTTAAGCTGACCGAGTAAAATTGCATTAAAATTTCTTATAAACTCGATAAGCTGTTAAATCGTGTGTCATTGCGCCAATTGTGAAAGCGACACAGTGTCAATGTGTTTTTTTATATAAAAATTTAAACCTCTCCAGGTCTGATCTTAATATAAAAATGATTTCGCTTGTAAGATATCTTGAGTATCTTGGGCCAAGCGAACCGGTTTATTCTGAGCCGGTCTTTAAAGACCAAAAGTCCAGTTGCGCAAACTCCCAGCAATATGTCCACTCCTTCCGAATCCTTTTTTCCAAAAATTTTAAAAGAAAATTTGTAATTTTAAACGTCACGAAAAACGCTCTGATGATTGATTTTCCACGCCATAAAAAAAAAGTGATTGGCCTAATTTTCATATAAAAATTGTGCCGATTAATAATGTACGATTAGAAACCTACAAGCATCAACCTGTCCCCAGCCTCAATTTTTTTTAGTTTTAGGCCTGGTATAGCGTGGCCTCGAGGAATACAATAAATAAAAAAGATTAATTAAACGTGACATTAAAAATAAAAATAGCATTATATTAAAGATATAATATAGAAAATTATAACGAAATAATAGATTCACTTTTAATAACTAATTTTAACAATTATAAAATAGCCTCAAAATTATCTCAAGTGATAAATGTAATAATACACATTAATTTTATCATAGCATCATGCATAGGTATTTTGTATATTAATAAATCCACAAGATATTTGAAGCAAAAACTGAAATTATTTACAGGCATTACATTTTATAATTATAGTTTAAAAAAGCATTACATTTAATTCGACTTTTTTGATTTATAATATTTAGTGTTTATAAAGGTTCGATTTTATCCTTTTAAATTTTCATATAACGGTTTAATTAAAATTACGGTTTATGAAATTACAACGGTTAATTTCGGTTTCTCGGTACGATTTTGTTCGATCCTCTCGATACAACATAGATTTAGTTACCAATTTAAAGGGGTTAAGATAGAAAGGTGGGCATTTGAAAAAATAATCAATTATTTCTATTTAAAAAACCGTCAATAGAAGCGAAAATGTGAGTAACTTTAACTATATTTAGGCATATTTTACTGGATAAAGATGATAAATCCATCTAATTCTCGTGGATACATAAATCAGAGACCTGCAGAGGTACCATTTGGGGCCGCGCCTGCAGGTTTCTGATATAAATACAAATATGTTCGATGTGATTTGTTATTTATTTAATTAAATAGTAATTAGTAATTTTATTTAAAAAAATAACTTTGGCTTCGTGTAGATCGACTCCATACATTGCTAACTTTTTGGCGTTTTCCAAGTAATTCAATTCGGCCTCAGCTGGCGTCTGCCCTCTGGATATTATGGAAATATAATGTTATAATCAAGAATTTTGTTTGAAAGCTTGCAAATAAATTTGATTAAACATAATTTTTCACATAAACATTCAACATGTATATAATATAATATAATACTGTTTTTACATTTTTAATAGTTGCAATATTTAATTTAAAAAACCAAAAATAATTTTTTAATTAAATTATTGTTTATATTAAGGTAATGATTAATTAATTATATAACAAAATTTTAAAATATTTTTTAGAAAAACAAACATCGTTTTAAACAAGGAAGAAAAACCATTTTTTTTATTTTTTTTTGAAAGTATAACCGCCGCTAATATTCTAATCAGTTTGTAAAAAATTTTAAAAAACATAAAATTGGAAATGGATGTACAAGGGATTAAAATAGTTAATTACGGGTGATAATTTACATCATTTTAAAAAATCGGATCGGGTTTTAAATGATATCGGGTCATTCCAATTTTTTCCCGATGACCGACCGGTTGGCGTTTACTACAAAAGTTTAACAATTCGCAATGAAGAATTTTTAAAAAACTTGTGAGTCCTATGTAGCTGTGCCACCTTATCTTCGAGCTCCTGGGTTTGGTGGGGTGGAGGAGCAAATTGAAACTCGCTCAGGTAACCCTCCTTGTGCTCGTCGGGATCGTAATCGCCTAGCTCGGACTGAACCAGATAGGAGCCCAGTAAGGCGTAGGTAACGAAACTGCAAGGTAATCTATAATTGTTTAATTATTTTTTAAAATAGAGAATAAATATGAGAGGAAAACTTATTATTCGCGTTAATTATTGAGAAAAAAAACTCCAGTTTACCATTTCTAAAGGAAAAAATATCCATAAACGTTTAAAATACGAGAATTATATAATATTTTCCAGGACAAAGAATTCTAAACAGTAAATGCGGGAAAAGGGTTAAATTGAAGCATTTAATGTACGCAGCATTTTAGGAAAAGGTTATCCAATTTAATATCTACTAACTATGGATATCAACACACCGAGTTTATTGTGTAAAGCTATTTCGGGTAGAACCCGGTATATAAAATAACTACATCCCCTTGCCTCTTATATTACTATCATATGCAAACGCCAAGGCCAATAGGTTATAACTTATCCGAGCAGTTTTAACTCCATGCATAATCAAAAAAACTGATAGCTTTGCACTCCTAACATTATCAAAGACAGAAGAATACGCTTGAAATAAATAAGCACTTGTACATGTGATCGGGGTATAAAAATTTCATACGTATATTTACATAGATAAGTAATTCAAAATATTTAGCGATCATATGCCCTTAAAAAGATTGTTGGGCGGGAAGAAAAGTGACACCTATCAAAGATCAAGAAATTAAGGGTAGGAGAACGCGCCATAAAATTATAGTACTAAACCAGGGAAGGAAAATGGAATCGCATTAGCACTATCATTCTTATCAATACAACATGATAGTATCTACTAACAATCCATGTGAGACAAAGAGCTGCATTTTGCGACCAAACCTGTCTACATAATGGAGCCCAAAATATGAGTTTCGATATACTGTTTGTTTTAAAATTTTTTTTAAATATATATGCGTAATTAGAATATAATAGTGGCTTATTGTTGAACTTGATCTGGATTGTAATTACAAACTAATAAAAAAAAATCAGACTGGTATGAAATAATTTTTTAGTCCAGTTTTAAATTATAAATAGAATAAATATTTACTTTCCAGTTAGAACGTCGTTTCTGACTTGTAAGCAGAGGTAATATCTATAAAAAAATGGATAAATTTTAAATTGGTCGGTCATAAAGGTATCCATCTTTATTTAACTCTTATAAAAAATAAATTCTCCTTAAAAATAGGCCGATTCGGCTTCCCTTAAGGCGTGTGGCCGAAAAAATCAGATGTTCATTTTTTGGCTTCCGCTACCTCGAGATTGACAGTGATAGTTTTTGGCAAAAAAACTCAATTTACCCATTTTTTAAGTTGACTCAAAACTAGCTGAAAATAAGACGATAAGGAGTTTAAGTTTATAAACAAAAATTTATTATAAACTTAAGACCTAAATCTTTTATAAATGTTACTCAAATTTAGGATAATTTTTTAATTTTGTCTTGTATCATTATCTTAAATCCCAGTTTTAAAAATATTTACCAATATACCCCCCGTGAGTAAATAAAGAAAAAAAATCTTACCGAGTTATATCCTCTTGAAGTTGGGAAGGTTCTATGGGGTAGAATTTGATTTCGAAGGCAAAAACCCATGGACCGGCTGTTCAGGAACATAATTAACAAATAAAATTTTAATTAGATATTTTAATGGGAGGGATATCGATTAATCATAATAACATGCTAATAAAAACAAAACTTCAAAATTAATTACTTTTTGTAAAAAAAAAGTATTATTGTAACATTAATTGATTATATAAATCATGCGATGTGTTTTGGTTTGCCCCCCCCCTCTTCGCACGCAATATTGATATGATAAGTAAAATATAAAAAAATGAGTGATTATGGTTTAATGATCTCCTTTTCATGGCTTTTCAGGAAAATATGAAATACACCCCCCCCCCCCCACCAAAAAAAATACAATATCTTTCATATCGATAAAACAGAAACAGGAAAAATGATATCATTTGCTTTTTAAATAATTTATTTTTAAGATGTAAAAAAAATAAATATTAAAATATTAGAACAAGCGTGGATAATGAGATCCCTGGAGGAATCAAGTGATAGTAATAACGCGCGCGCTCATTTTAACAGTTAGTCTTCAGGGATCTTACACTAAAAATAAATAATGTATTAAGGATTTGGATAAGAAAACTCTAAAAGGGCGGAGGGGGAGAACGCTGAAGGATATAGCCCTTCAGCTAAATTTAAGAATAAAAAGAGAAAGCCTTTTTCACTTTCGCGTCATTAAGTATTTTTTTTTTTAAAAACTCAACTTAAAAAGAATTCATTTTGCCATTGTGCTATCGGATCATCACTAAAAATATAAACTCGAATTATATAAACAATTATATGAGGCCGCGGTTAACAATCGTTATTCAAAAATAAAAAAAAGATAAAGATACCTTTTCTTGTTTTGTTTATGGTGCGTATCTACGCAATCATTTTTGATAATTACGAATATCTTTTTATTTTTTCATTCTGAAAAGAAGATGCTAGTGTTAGAGATGTGCAAAAGTAGGCCACCGAACGGGTTTCGTGGGGGGGGGGGGGGGGGGGTAATATTTTTTAAGAAAATTCGGGCCAGATTGGGTCGTAGAAATTTTTTAAAATATATCTAAATTTATCAATTTTATATTGAATTTTTTATGTAAAATAAAAATATGCGATTTTATTTATAGAAAGGCCAAATAACATATATCGTTTATTTTGAGTAATTATAAAAATTATTTTCTATATTTAAATAAATTCGGGCCGGGCCGGCAAAATTTTTTAAAAAAATATCGGGTTCGGGCCGGGCTGAGCAAAACTTTTAAAAAAAAATTTCGGGCCGGGCCGGCTTGAAAATAGGCCCAATGCAGATCACTCGGTAGTGTTGTTAAACGGCTCGATTTAAGCCGAAAATGGCGAATTCAATATTTTATCCAGAAATATATTATTGCAAGCCTATTTTAGTCATAGATGATAAAAAGGTTTGGACATCTATTAGCCAAATTTTGAGGTTTATCCAAAATTTCCTGGCTAAAAGTATTGAATTAACCGTAAATCAGCTCAAGTCGAGCCGTTTTAACAACATAAAACAGGACACGGCCTGAGTGGTATTTTATTATAATAGTCATTCTATATATTCTGTTTTGAATTGCATTTAAGAAAATTAGATGATGGCTAAATGTCGGCTAATTAGGCTAAATAAAAAAAAATGGTTTCATAAAATGGGGATTTATTTTAGGGTGACCTTTATAAGGTGATCATTATTTGGAACATTTTTCGTTGAAAGTTCGGGTTGAACGGTCACTAGTGTTGTCAAACGGCTCGTTTTAAGCGGTTTTTAAAAACGGCTAATATCGGGATAAAATATTACGCAAGCCTAAAAAATTTTCTCATAGAAAACAAATATTTGGACATCTATTATTGGATAAAATATTGAGTTCGCATTCTTTAAAAATCGTCTCAAATCGAGTCGTTTGAAAACACTAATTTTTAGCAAAAATATTATATAAGCCTCGAGATTTGACGATAAAGGTCCAAACCTTTCTGCTATCTATGAATAAAATCTCCAGGCTTATCGACCCGAATCGGGGGTTTTTTAAGAACCCTATATATTGTTATTCAAAAACGAATTCGAGGTGAATAATGAATTATTCATATTAGATTTTTTTAAACAAATAAGAACAATTTCCAATTAGTATGAATAATAAAATTTATTATTCTTATTCGATTGGTATAATTTATGCGAATTAGTAGATTATTCGATCGAAGAAAAAAAAAGAAATAAGATAATATATTTATTTGCGGTAAGAATAATTCTTTGAATAAGTCAAATTCATGCTCATTCTACGCTTATCATTTTTTTGCCAGGAATCACGATATTATAAATAAAGCGTAAATCAAAATTTAACAAAATTCTTTGTGTAAAGGATCCCAAAAAATGTAGATTGTCTTCTTTTAAAATAGGCAAAGCCTAATAATTTTTACCCAGTTTTAGCATCGATCGTTGCTCATTTTAAAGAGGTTATAATTAATGATAAAGATAGTGTGAAAGAGACCCTCGTATAGAATCTTAAGCTAGCTAAATCCTACATAAAAATAATCAAGCTACTTCTTGTCCCGCCGGGAATTTTTTTACAAGAACTTGGAATTGGGACTTTTGGAATGGCAATTCCTCGTTATAATTTAAATTTCGGTTCTAGCTCATATTGGCCCCAAGTTGTGGAAAAAGTCCAGGTCAGGCACGATCTTGATAATGAATTTCAAATTAATAAATACACAAATATTGTTGAAAAAGTCACGTATTTTCAGTTTAATATCTTTTAACCTTGTGTTACTGTTTGGACACGAAATTCGATGTTTTTTATAATTCTATATTCTTTTCTTCTGTCATTTCTTTTTCTTATGATAACTTTGAAATAGTAAACTAATCACTCTTTAAGGCTTGGAATCGGTTATTTAAAAAATGCAACTCATTATGAATTTAAATGAAAATCACCCAATTACGTATAAAAAAATATTTTGATAAAGCTAAAATCGATTTTTTTTTTCAAATTTAGATATAGACAATTAATTTTTTACGTAGGACATATAAAATTTGTGTAAAATGTTTAAATAGAAAATTGGTTAAAATTTTTGTATTTTATAGAAAGAGAATATTTTAAACCATTAAAGGCACTGACCCACCAATCCACGAGTCAGGAATGGATTCCCCATTGATCCATTTTGTTTTACTAAAATAAATCACGAGGGGACGAACCTAACCTAGGTTTTCTCCTCACGATTATTTTTTATTCAACGACATAGAATTTTTCTTCTTTTTTATATTTAATTTTCTATCTACTATTGATATGACTAAATCAATATAACGAAGATCCCCTTGTTCCAGATATTAACGTAATAACACCTGTTCGTCGCTCCCGTCTCTTCCTATCCAGTTGGTGAAGAAATTTACTAATCGAGCCCTATATGAGCCGCTCCTTACACCTTTAAATTCCGTCTGTTACAAAATATCGAAATGATTTTACTCGCGAACTCACTTCGATAATTCTCGACGCTTCAGCTAAACTACGCGTGCCTTTTAATTACAATTTTAAAGAAAAAAAACGTATCCAAGTCTACATTACCATGACAGGCGAGTTTTAAATATTGATCTTGAAATATACTGAACAGTATATTTCAATTTAAATCGTTTTCATTTCTAGATAAATGTTCCTATTTTCTCAGAATGAATAAAGGGTAGTTGTTTCTACTTCGCCAAATTCCATTCATTCATTAGCCATTTTAAACTGTCTTTTTAACGCCATTTTTTGAAAACATGTGAGATTTATAATAAAATGTATAGTATTTTAACTTCTCGCAATTAATTCAATTTACCGGCATAAGAAACATAATTAATTATCGAAATAAACTTTTTTTAAAAAAAATCCAATCAAATAAGGTAATCACGAAATGATTTCACGTATATAAAATATATAACACAAAAATTGTATGAAAAAATGATTTACATTTTGCATTAAAAAAATACTTATATTCTTCTTTCCCAATATTCCTTCTTTTGCATTATATAATATTTCTTTTTTATATTATAAATTTAAGATGACAAATTATATTTAACACATATATAGTAGGTAAGTTATATAAATATGATTTGACCTCCATTATCTATTTATTAACCAATTTTTTTTTACATTTAAAATTATAAAAACAAAACTTTCCATAAACGTTTTTCATATTTTTGTATCGTACAGGAAAAATAATATTAATAATAGGAATGAGAATTTTCCCATTTAATAATAAATCAAATATTATTTCGGTATTTATAATTATGTTTCTAAATAACTAAAAAGGTGTTTTTTTAGTATCTATTTCTTTTCACTGTTTTTCACATACCCCCGATTTAATGAGAAGGAAAAGTAGGTCATTTAAGATAATGAGAAAAAGGATGATTTATATTTTATTCGAATTATTTTCAGTGTTAAGAAAGGTTATGACGAGAGATAGCAATTGGTATCTTTTAGTCAAATGATGTTTAGAAAAAGAATCCACCATTTTTTAGCGAAACTTTTACGAAGAGATTTTGAAGCGACGGATGTCGCTGAATCAATTCCGTGAATTATTTTACCTGCGCCATTTACAATGAGGTTAATATCGCGAACTCATTATTTTTAATTTATTTGCGCAAAACCAGAACCGCGAAAAATTTGGAACGAAAATTTTTATGCAAACCTATACTTTTATGGCAAACACAGTATAGCGAATTTTTTTACCGTAAATGTATTGCGTGAAATCATCATCGCGAAATAATGAATATATTTGCAAATGCATTTATTAAAAGAATTCAATAATAATTTACTACACACATAAGTTCTTAGAGCGAAATTTTAAGGGTTTACTTATCTATTTTTTTTAAATTGTCAAACTTTTATTTATTTTAAAAAATTTATATTAAATAACATATAAACACTATATTAAAATATAATTTAAATATTAAAAGGGATGGGGGGGGGGGGGGGGTGATCAATGAAAACTGCATACAAACATGATTGATCTGCAGATTTTTAAGCCAATATTCTGGCGCAATAGGTATTCTTTAGGATCACCGAAGATCAAAGAAATTTTTTCCCTGTGTATTTTAAAAAAACGAGGGCCTCATAAATTGCCAATTGTTGTGGTGACCGAACGAAGTGAACATCGTCTATGGATGATAATTTGATGTTTTCAGCTTGAGAAATTTAATTTTCCATAAGTATTTAATTTCGCGAATATATCAAGGCAGGGAAAACCTTAAGCCAAGAAAAGACCTTTAGTCAACCCATCTGGCCTTTTGCCGTTCAATGAATTTAGCCCTATAAGTCTTAAAAACATGGGATATAGGCTATTTTCGGGGCTTTAAAAATGATATTTTTTATGGCACTGTGCCTAAGATGGCGATTAAAAAATTTGCAATGAAATGGGTGATGGCCATTTTTTTCGACTTGAGTATTATAAAGGAAGCAGGTTAAGGAAGAAACTATATTGCAGCCGGTACGAAGCCTAATGAATATCCTAAATTGTTCGGAGGAAAAATGGAAGACGAAGTTTTGAATGGGAATATTGGTTAGGTCATTTGGTTGCTGGTTCGAAGGAAAAATTCAATGAAACTTCAACCACTTTTTGCGCTAATATTGACTTCGCGCTAATAAATTCGCGAAATAGCGTTCGCTATATTGTATTCACAATTTAGGTTTCGCGATAATGACAGCTATAAAACTTTCACGATAAAAGTTCAGTTGTTTTAGCGACAAAAGTTTTGCTTTGTCATGGAGGAGAGTTATTGTAAACAAAAAAATCGTATTTTGAGTGGCAGCTGACAAAAATACGAAATTGCTCTCAAAAAATATAAAATCCCGTCAAAGAATGTTTTAAAATTTGTTTTTTGAAATATCCAAAATAGATATGTTATATTATATTCAATAAAATATAATACTTATCTAATTAAAATGGATCTTGAAGCATCGTTGAGTTCAAATCAGCTTGTGGATGACCAATTTGGTTACCAGTATAAAAAATTTATAAAAATAAATGAAACTCTAAAAAATATTTAGGTTTTCATAAATTTTTGTAAATTATTTGTATGATAAATTAAAATGGCGTGTAACCAGCTGACTCATATAGATGCACATTTAACTGAATGAATCGCTAATCTAGGTATTATTATATGGCATTATATTATATAAATAGATAACAGCTCAACTCAAGGTATGTTCAACTGAAGGAAATTTTATAATTAGATCCAATATTTTTAAAATCAAACAATTATATGAAGTAAGATTAAAGATTAGAGAGAAATGGGGGTTAGCGTTAATTAGATGTTTGAGAGATATGGAGAGTTATAGTATATCAAAAAAATTTAAATTTATAACCTGTCAAATATGACAGGTCATGTGATTATAAACCGACTTAAATAAATCAGCCCTGCTAACGGTAAATTCCTTGAGTTGAACCATGAATCGTATTAGATCATCTGACAGCAGATAATTATGTTTAATTCGTTATTTCGAATAAGGTCGCATTCCGAAATATATAAATCATTTTATTATTAATTTCGAATAATTCAAACACCGATTAGAATTATTTTTGTTGATACCCAAACGAATGCAAATATAATATCCGTTTTAATTTTTTTTAAAAAAAACAAATTTATCATTGAAATCGATTCGATCTCGTGATCCCCAGCCACAATAATCATATTGAGGAATTTATTGTTACAAAATATTTTGTTCAAAATAAAAATAATATTTATCATTTGTTTTCTTAAAGATAAGATTATACACATTACATTACACCTTTAAGGCTACTTTTTTAATATATATATAAATATACAGAATTTGATTTTATATTTATATCAAACGATAAAATATTTTTAAAAATAAGGGAATGAATGAATGGGAGTCATTGATGTAAAAAAAAAATTATGGCGTTTTTTTGTTCAGCGAGGTAAAGTTAATATCGAAATCTCAACTTAAAAAATGGCGAATTACGAACCTAAAAATCCAAATACTAATATTCATTAATTATCTATATATTAAAAAATTATTTATAATTCGTCATGATCTCTCAGGAGACATTTATTAGTTTAAGAATGGGGAAGAGGGGTGGGGGGGGGGATAGCGTGGTCATTTATTTTATTTATGAATCACCATTTTCCCCTCTGAAAAGACAGTCATATTTAATTTAATAATATATCGAATCCGAATATCTGCTATATAACGCGCTCACAGGGTTGGGAGAGTTTAATATGTAAAACCTAGAAATTAAGGCCTGATGCAAAATGTTTCGTGCGCGTTTTTCGAAAAAAGGCACTGTGAGTTTATATTTTGGGAGCTCAATTTAGGCAAGTCGTACTTTCATCATAAATGTAATTATTACATAATTTGATAACGATTATCAATTCATATTAAAATGCAATTAGATTTTTTTTAAACAAAAATAAAGTCATATAATATAAAACAATTCCCTTAACGATGCAAAAAATAATAATAGAAATGAAATATTGCGCTTTGTTAAACTTAAAAAATCAAAATATCAAATTATTATTAACTAGGAAAATAAGTAAAAGTGGAATATCATGATCTGCATCATAAATCATCTTTGATTTTTTGTATCGCGTTTAATTAAATTGGGTAGAAAAAAATTATACTAAACTTGTATTTTATATAATAATATAAAGCTTACGTTTGACTTGTTTTCGAATCTTTTTGTCCGGGTTCAACCAGTACTAAAAAAAATATAAATTGTATAAATATCGGAGGATTTTTAAAATATGATATTTTTTTTTTTGCGATATTTTCAACCAATTTATTATTTTTTATAAAAAAAATTGTATTTTACAAAAAAAAAGCGAAATCTTATCATTATTGCAAGCCTTGAGAAGACTTATCGATGGCAGATATTATTAGCTACCATTTTGGTACAAGTCGATCTAATTGCAGTCGACCACTTTTTTAAAAAAAAATTCGAGCTGCGTTTATGAAGAGTCATAAAAAGGTATTAATTGGCCTTCATTAATGACCATAATAATTATAATTATCCTTAGAAATGTGCATAAATACTAGCCGCTAGGCGTAGCTAAGAAAGTGCGAAAGCGCCATTGTAATATAAAATGAATCTAAAGAAAAAATAATGGATAAATTGAAATACTTTAACTTTGATCTCGGCCACATCCCTGTATGAGAGGCCAAAATAGTCCTTTTCTAATAAATTCAAATGATCGCACACCATGTCAAACAAATCTTTACCATTTGCGTGTTTCTACATTAAAAATAAATATTTTATAAAGAATTCTATTTCTGTTCCCATTCGGGATTAATTTGTTATGCGTTACGAAGTAAATTTTGAAAAGGTGCTATTCAGACTGGTTATCGTAGATTTTTTTAAAAATTTAATATATTGACGGTCATTCCATGTAAAAATCAGCTAAAAATATAAGTATTCGGCCGACTCCTTTCAATATTGATAAAAATTTGTAAGAACATTATATATCCTCTCATTAATAATAAAAAAACGAAATTTTGACTCTAGCAATTATATCTGAAATAGTGTGGGTTGAGGTACAAAATCGATCTTTTCTTGCCATTTTCTGGTGTTAAATAATTTATTAATCAATTTCAACTTTATATTTTATATCTATAACTAAGCCAATTATTGATTTTTATTGTTATACGTAGTGTTGATAAACGGCTCGTTTGCCCATTTTTAAAAACGGCTAACTCAATATTTTAGCCAAAAAAATAATGCCTAAGCCTCGAGATTTCGCTCATAGGTGTCTAGACCTTTGGGCCATCTATGAGCAAACTCTTCAGGCTTGTGCAATATTATTCTGGATAAAATATTGAGTTAGCCGTTTCTAAAAATGGACTCAAATCGAACCGTTTAACAACCTAGTTATATGTGATCATCTTACTGTCCAGTAGAAAGTTTATAAATAATTTTCAAAATGACTAGATACTCCAATTTCTTTTCAATATCTTTTCACTGATATTCTGTTCTTTATTTCTTCAAAAATATCGCCAATAATTATAAGATGCAGGGCTGTCTGATATATTGCAATCGGGTTGAGTCCGACATTAATCATTTATGAGAAAAATTGGATCGGTCTTTTACATCGAAAACTCGATCCGATATATTAAAATATTAAAATAATTGCATACTATATTTAAATCCCTGGCAAATAAAATATTCATGATATATACTGTAATTTTATAGTAAATTGAGATTTAATGATTATATGAAATTTACTTTCTTCTAACAAACGAATAAACATAAACCATGACCTACCAGATATTAAGATGAGATCATTTTAGAAAATGCTTTAAAATATTTATTTTAAAAGAAAAGATTTTAAAAGAATATTTGAATAATATTTTGATTCCATTAATTAAAAAATCGGTTTAAATATCGGATAGGGGAAAGAAATTGCGAATTTTACAGCTCTACTTTTTCTTACCTTTTCAATTAATAGGTAAATCATTAGAAAGAACGGAGATGAGAATAATCAGATGGGAGTTCAGAGTATCTTTAGAGTGTAAGAAAAACAAGCCAGAAACTGAGAGAAGGGGGATAGAAGCAATAGGTGATGTCTTGAGAGCAAATAGACAGGTGGTTTGGACATGTTGAACACGGAAGGCAAAGGATGATTGGTTGATTAGGTTCCGTTATGTTAAATTGGGGGAACAAGACCCACAGGGAGACCAAGGACAAGCTGGGTGAAAGTGTTAGATCATGACATGAAAAGGTAAGGTTTAACACGGGGTGATGCAAAGGACTGAGTAAGATAGTGAAAGGCGATTAGAAGGGAAAATGGCCTACCCGGGCAAACCTAGAAAAGAGCCACTAAAAGACGAAAAAGAAGAAGCCAAATCAGTTTAAATATTGAATCTAATATTAATAAGCAAGTCAATAATTGATCATATCCCTATTATCTCACGTAACATAATTGCTAATGAGCTAAAAAAATTTAATCTAGCTAGGACATTTGCCCCCCCCCCAATTTTATGTATATTTTTCCAGTTGCAACTTTTTTCCCATTTTATGCATTTTAAATTTTTGTTATTTTTTGATAAACAAAAAATAATTTAATAATATTCAATTTAAACAAAAATTTTATAGGTATAATAACAAAATAATATAAAAGGGGGTAACGACGTAGAGCGTTGTGCATTATTGATTTTTTTTATGTATTTTTATTAAAATATTAGGTAGCGTGGTAAATTATTTACAAAAAAATGTCGTTTTCAAATTAGTGTCTGTGGCCTAATCGGTGATTGCAGATATCACAGAGCGTATATATTCTGCGTTCGAATTCAGGAAGGTTCGCGTTTTTTTCTCATAGGCTAATTAGATCATTATGTGCTACGGAATATGATATATAAACACTGAAGCGATCATATGGTTACATAAATATTCATAAAAATGGATCTTAATTCATTTTAATAAAATTTATGGTCTTTGTTTATAGTAAATATCTACAATATGATGACATCGCTATATATCATTACCCGATATAGAATATTAAAGGGCCTCATAAATTATGGCCATATTCAGTGGCCCTATAACGGGGGGGGGGGGGTCTATAAATATAAAATAAACATTATCGAGTGGGATTCTTGATGCGTAAAAATCATTGAGATTTTGTCAGTACATTACTCTGACATGCTTTACAACATATCTTTTAACACCACTAAAATCTACATATATATCTCGTCTAACCTAAAACATTTCGCAGTTCTTTTATTGATTGACATAATTGAACAATGATTAAATTTAATCGATGACAATAGCACCAAATAAAAGTTGCCTTTGGCACCTCCGCTCTAATAATAGCCTGCACTCCATTGCACTCATGTTTGAGGGGCCATCATAGCTTTGCCCAACTAGGAATTTGAGGGATAGATTCATGGAGCCAAGTTTGAATATTATATTCTTTTTAATATCGAGTCCAGTTGTATTTCCCGTACAATATATGCAATTATAAATGATAGCACATATGATGTTTCAAAAATCTGAAGCAATAGCTTTGTTAGTAAGATATGTTGAAAATAGTCAGACACCTAAGCCCGTTGAAAGACTGATAGGCCTATATTATACCGGAAATTAAAAGAATATAATATCCAAACTTGGCTCCATGAATCTACCCCTCGAATTCTTAGTTAGGCAAAGCTATGATGGCGCCTCAAACATGAGTACAATGGAATGCAGGTTATTATTAGAGCCGAGGTGCCAAAGGCAGCTTTTATTTGGTGCTATTGTCATCGATTAAATTTTATCATTGTTCAATTATGTCAATCAATAAAAGATGCGAAATGATGAGATTTGTCTTGAGAGATATTAATAAGAAAAAGACTATTAGCATCATTTTTTTGTAATAGATGGAGAGCATGTCCATACCAGGTTTTCGTATTGTTGTAGAATTTTTTTTTATTGTTTTTTGTTTTATATTTAATAGCCTTTGGAATTGTATTTATTTGGTTATGTCTTAAAGTATGACAAAGGAGTTCAATTTTTCTAAAATTTAGTAAGATATGTAATGGAAGAATTTTGCATTTGTTCCAAAGGTTAATATTAGAGATTATTCGAGGATATTTAATATTTAGAATGTTTCTAAGACATTTATTAATGAAAATTTGCATTTTGTAAAGGTTGGACTTTTTATCCCAAGTTTCTATACCGTAAGTAAAATATGAGATAATATAAATCTTAAAGATGTGTATTTTGAGGTTATTTGATAGAATATTTGTATTCCATAATTTGAGAAAACAAAAATTTTATCGAACTCCATAAATCATCAAACCATTAATTTTAATAATAACACAATTTACTTCACTGAATCACATAAATACCTCGGCATTACTATTAATAGTAAAGGCATATCAAATAACCTCAAAATACACATCTTTAAGATTTATATTATCTCATATTTAACTTACGCTATAGAAACTTGGGATAATAAAAAATCCAACCTTTACAAAATACAAATTTTCATTAATAAATGTCTTAGAAACATTCTAAGTATTAAATATCCTCGAATAATCTCTAATATTAACCTTTGGAACAAATGCAAAATTCTTCCATTACATATCTTACTAAATTTTAGAAAAATTGAACTCCTTTGTCATACTTTAAGACATAACCAAATAAATACAATTCCAAAGGCTCTTAAATATAAAACAAAAAACAATAAAAAAGAATACTACAACAATACGAAAACCTGGTATGGACATGCTCTCCATCTATTACAAAAAAATGATGCTAATAGTCTTTATCTTATTAATATCTCTCAAGACAAATCTCATTATAAAAAAATGGCTCAATTGCTCCTTATCATGAATCATCCAAATTTTTTATAATTTTAATTCCTAATACAATTCATGTTATTCTTTTATATAAATATTTTAAACTTTTATATTTTTTATATAAGTCTGCTATTCATATATTTTTTTGTCTATTTACAAAATTAATAAAATGTTTGTTACATTTAATTTATAATTTATTGAGTAATATATAATTTAAAAAAAAATATATATATTAAAAAAAAAACTAAATAATAAATAAATCAAAAATAAATAAATAAATAATAATATTAATGTTTTTAAAGATACAATATAATAATAGAATTCTTTAATCAGTCATAATAATAAATCAATTATTTTTTTTTTCAATAATTATCTAAATCATTATTTTCGACCTTACTTCCCTTTTCTTCCTTAATATTTTCTTTTTTCTTTCTTCAACCCTAGGTTATATATTTTTTTCCTCCTTTATAAATTTTATTATTTCTTAAATAGTGGATCCTGGCTTATCCACGAGAGGTACCGTTATTCCTCTTTAATTAAACGGGCCCTGGTAGTAGGGTAAATTACTACCAAACTTAGTGGATCCTGGCTTATCCACGAGAGGTACCATGAATCCCTCTTTAATTAAATGGGCCCTGTCAGTAGGGTAAATTACTGTCATACAGTGAATGCAATTTCACTGCACTGGATACGCCCTCTGCTGGGTGGTGGAGACCACTTAATTGTGTGTTTCCCCAGTGAACGACAAGACAAGAAGAGATATATGTAGATTTTAGTGGTGTTAAAAGATATGTGGTGCTCAAAGCATGTCAGAGTAATATACTGACAAAATCGCAACGATTTTTACGCATCAAGAATACCACTCGGTAATATTATCTTATTTGTTTAGATTCAAAGTGCTTATTTTATATTTATAGAAGCTGGCTATCATCATATAAAGCGATTGTAAAATTTTTCTATTTTATTATGCCTTGAGGGCAACTTTGATAAATTTAAAAGAATCTGAAGATCCTGACACTTTCACTATGGCTAGTGCTATAGTCTTTAGAATAGAAAAATTTGATTTTATCACTTTGTGTTTTAGATAAAATATTGTTGATAACAAGCTTGGCTTGCACAAAATTGCAAACATTTCGAAGAATATAAGGTTTGCAGTAAATCAAATTCAATTGGCAAAAGATTGCCTGATTAATTTGAGAAGTAAAATTTAAATTATTGTCATTTGTTATTTTTTAATCCTAATAAATAATAAGACTGAATTTTTGGATGTTTTTCAAAGGCACAAGATTTTATGAAGGAGAGAAATCTACCTTTTCATTTTGAAAGTAGACTTCAAATATTACTATCCAAAAAGGAGAGGTATATACTTTCATCATTAAATAGATTTTTATTTTAGCTTTAAAACCAGTGTTTTGCCCTTGATTTGATTATTATGCAGTTTAATAAAAGATTTAATGATGAATCGATGAAATTTTCAAATCCATCATTTTTTACACTAAAGGGAATGGCGGAAAAGTTAACGTTAAAAGGATATCGAGAATAACTGTGAATTTTACCATTTAAATTAAAGTCAAATTTTTGAAGAAATGATGAAGTTTCGAAATATTTATAAGATGCTAAAAAGGGGGATGTAATTAATACACGTGACCTAGAGGTTAAAGAATCTAAAGATTGTCAGATTTTGAGAATCGTAAATTTATTTAATCAAAATATTTTTATTAATATATTATTTCGTTTCTTCTTCTGATTATGATAATTCTGAGAGTTATGATTTAGACTGGAAAAACTATTCGTTTATTTTATCTTATCGTATACTTTTAAATTTTTCTGCTTTCCCTAATTTAACAATTTTATATAAATATTTATTAATCATTCCTACTACCTCATGTACTGCCAAAAGGGTCATGAGTAAAATTAAATTAATTAAAACAAGACTGTGTAACCATGAAAGATCTTCTTATATCAATGGAAAAAAAATTATAACAATTAAATATTGATGAAATTATAAATTCTTTTGCTTTTTCTTCCCTTAATTTGTCTAAATTTAAAAATAATATTTTTAAAGTATATATTTTTTTACATTTTATTTATATTATATATTAGATTGATGCAATAAAGATTATTTTTGAAATTTATGGGTGGTAAAGAATAATTAAGCATTTTTTCGAAGGGAGGGGGGTACTTTTCAGGAGTGTATTCTGCTTCCATCGGTCAGAAAGTGTAGGGGCCAGTTATTATTCATTAATAATCAAAATTTTGTTCTAGATCCCCTTCTTTTACAACAGGGCTTTTTCTATCAGGCATTAAATTATCCAATCCCCGCAAGTGCCCCCTCCCATGTAATCGAATTCCGATCTTCTACAGTTTTCTTTAAACTCCTCCTAGTAGTGGGGAGGATTTGAAGTATTTTTTGTGATATTCCATAAAGTTTTAAATGAATTTAAATCAAGGGGTCGATACTGGCAACCCTAAATATTAATCCTTCTGTACAACTATTTAGTCAATTTCACAGTATAACATGGTACTGCCTTGTTGAGATGATTTGGTGAAGATGTTAATCAAGTGTCTCTTAATATTTTAAAGCGTTTAGTATGCGGTTTACGAAGGACAAATTTCCAGCACCCTTGCAACTCATAAATATTCCCTATCATATAGCTCTCTTGGTATTTAGCAGTTCGTTTTAAGCAATCAGTATGAAAAACTTTGTTTCAATTACTTATTACACGATTCGTAACATTATCTATCATAGTTCATTAGGAAAGGGGGATTCATCTGTAAGAATAAAGGCATTCCATTGTTGAAAGTCGAATTGCTGCTTTTAAGAGCCTATTATAATATTTCCTTTTTTTGAATCATTGTTTAGTGTTTTTTAATCTTTATAAAAGAATAAGTTAGGAACAATAATGACAAGTAAATAATTTGTAATGCGAGTATAAATTTTACAAATCTTCTGGAATATTGGTGCGGAATTCTGTTTTCCTGTAATGCAACTCCACTCATAAATCAAATTCTGAGTGCTTGCATGAAGGATTTTTTTAAACACGATCTTCTCTAAAATAAAGGCCTTCCTTTAAAATTGCCGATAAACAAGGATAACTATAAGATCTATTTATTTCCTAAATAGTAAAGTAGTACGACTAAATCTAAGCCTCAAAAACGATTTTTAATTGAGAATTTTCCTTGCTTATAAATTTCAATTATCAAATAACCAGGGACACTGAGTGAACCGTAATGAACTGTTAAACCATTATAAATAACTGAACCGAACCGATATAATAATTTTTTGAAGGAGTAAAAAGAGCCTTTATAAAAAATGTTAAACAGGTCTGAACCCGTTTCAATCAAAATAAAATAAATAAAAAAATTTACATTTTTTTACATTCTTTTCTTTGTGGTGTATTACATATTTAACCATATCAGCGTCGTAATTATTAAATGATCAAAATATTTGTTTGATATCCATAAGTATGTATTAATTTATGACTTAAATTGATCCAAAATACATATTTTACCATATCTGCATCGTTATTTATTATTATTAAATGGTCAAAATATTTGTTCAATTAATTTTTTCCACTATGATTTAAATTGATCCAAAATCTTTTAACTTCATCATATAGTATTGGAGCATTCCTATTTTCTCTATTTTAGTATGCAAAATATCTAAATAACCAATTTGTATAAGATTAATCACAGGTGATCCGAAAGAAGGTTTCTACCTCCGCCAAAGGATTTCAATCGAAATCTGCCGTTCAAACTGTATATCCATTCATGGGTCATTAAGCCCCGTGGACCACACCTAATTAGATATCCCTCTTTTTTTTAAATAATTTTTTAATTTTTTTTTTCTTAATTTCCCTTCTTTTAATTATATGTTTTTATATTGATTATTTTGTTTTTAATATATATTTTTAATTCAATAATGTATATAAATGTTCATGTTCATGTTTTAATTTTTTTACCGAATAAAGTTTATTAAATTTAAAAAAAAAAAAAAAAAATTTTTGATTTAGTTGCATATATATTTTATTAATTTAAGTATATCATTACCTACCCATGAGTAGTTTGATAGAAGGTTCATTATATAAATTTCAAAATGACAAATTTTATAAGGTTTAAATTTTATAATTTTGGCATTTGAGTATATTTTAGAGCATTAATAATTATAACCTTTATTATGAAACAGATTTTGTGTTGTCTTGGAATGCAAGTTTACAAATTGTTCAAATCTGTTTATTATACAATTATTTAGGTGTGGGGAATTGTAAATTCTTAAACCAATAATATCCATATGATGTGGCTTCAAAAATTGATGATGAATTCTAATTAGTTTATAAATATCATAATTATATGTCTGCTGTGACCTCATATTTTTGTGTATTTATTTCTTATGTTAGAGCCATATTATAATTTTCTATATTTTAGTATACAAAATATTTAAATTACCAATTTTTGACTTAGTTGCACATATTTAATTAATCTAAAAAATCATGAGTTTTTATATATTGGGAACCAAAAAAATTTGAATATCCAGAATTATTTAAACTTGCTATAATAGTACTTGTGGTTCCCACAACACAAGTTTCTGATGTAAGTTCATTTTCAAGGCTGAAAATTTGTGTTATCGTCACAACAAATAAATATGAATTTACATAGAAAATATATAACTTATATGTTAAAATAATATATTTAAAAATGAGTTTAATTATCATATATTTTTTTTATATATTATTCATAGACACTTATAATAAAAATAAATTAATTTAATTATAAATAACAATATATCTAAGTAATGGCAAAATTTTAATAATTAATAATCATAAATAAAATCATTATACAATGGTGTTGCTTCAATAAAAATAATTTTAAAAAATTTCAAAATGTAAGGATCCTTCATAAACCTTTACAATTAGCTGAATAAAAACTTTATGTTTTCTTATGAACCATAACCATACACTGTTAAAAATAAAGATTCGATTTCCAGCAAATCACATATATTTTCTTATCTAATAATTTTCCATACTTCATTTAAAGCTAAATATTTAAAAAATATTATAAACAAAGGATTAATTAATTAGAAAAAAAATAATTTAATTATTAGGAAATTATATAAGATGAAAAATAACAAAAATATTGGATTATATAGTATAGGTTTTTTGCAAATATCAGACTTATCTGATATGTCCTAATGTCAAATATAAACCTCAATTCTATAAGATATTTAATATTAGCATAGTCCCTACTATTTATCTTCAAAAAGTTTTTAATAATAAACTTATTATAATAATTATTATAATTTATAAAAAAAATAATAAAAAATTTGTATGCAATTTATCAATATTATTAACTGCTATAAGGGGTTCAAACATTGTCCCATCCAACACAAATATATTGGCTTTTGTGAGTGGCCCATCTTTATTAGTGTGATTTTTAATATTTTCATTAGCATTTTTAGAAGCATCCAACTTTTTATTGAAATTATTTGTGGATTTTGTGTCCTTTTGGAAATCATTTGCCAATGATGTATCATTTTTAAATTGGTTGACAGCAGAAAACCCCCGTTTAATAAAAGAATTCCCTCCACCCTTTTCTTTGAATGAACCAGTGGTATTGTTATTTAGTGTCTTGGGATTAGTACGTTTGAAAAAAGATAGGCTTGAATGTGAATCACTGTTTCTGATAACCATTTTGGACTAATTATGAGTGAGGAATGAATATGAATCTGGATATTATGAATGTGCAATTTACAGAGTTTGTTGTATTATACAGGTATGGTATAATGTAAGGTTGATATGATAAACTAAGAAGATAGTGGCACAAGAGGATAAAACCAGGTGAAATCTATTTTAGACATGTGAAATAATATTTAATAAATATCATATGTAATCTAATATTAAAATTCTTTGAATGTGTAATATTATAAGAACTATTAAAAATGTGGCAATTTAAGTTATTTTAGTTTTAAATGCTAATTTAATTAATCTTGAAAAAAATTTAGCAATATTTTAAATAATTTTAAAAATTATTTGATTTTTTTTGTTTGGTATTTTTAGTAATAAAAAATTTAATGTAATTTCTATTGTTTGATATTTTTAAAATTGGAAATAAACATAGTTAAAAAAATACACAAGGGAAAGTATTTTAAAATCCAAGTCAATAAATTATATCATATACTTTATTATAAAATAGTATTATATAGTGGAATAATAAATATTTATTTTTTATGTTTGTTCCTTTTATGAAATGGAAGCAATTAATAAGCAGTATTTAAAAAACTAACAATAGGCTTAAATTTTAAAAACAGCAATGAAATGTTAATAAATTTAAAATCCAATTTAGCAATTAGAATAAAGTGTTTTAAAACAATTTTGATATTAAATATAAATTTAAATAATTACATAGTGAGATAAGTAATGTAATTTATCATTTTATAGCTTAAACTAAATTTAAAAAATTTATTGTAATTATATAATATAACAAAAATATCTTAAGATTATATAGGAAATCATAAGCAAACATTTAAACTTTAAGATTGAATAAGATTTATCTCTCATATTTTATTGTAAAGAAGAAATTATTACTCCTCAATAATTATTCTTTATTTTAAATATAATAGATATTTTGTCACTATCCTATCAAAAAATTAGTTTTAAAGAAATAAAAAACCATACTTTTGTTCCAACTTTAAATTATCTTAAAAACAAATTTTTGTTCTTAAATAAAATTATTTTTCCCTGATATTTGAATTATTATTTCCTCTGCAATATTTTTGCAAAAAAAATGCAAATAAAGCAATTAATAATATTAGATATCATTTCAAAATAAACTTATATCGATTATGTCATTTATAATTAATTTTAATAATGAATTAAATTATCATTCATTTTTTTACATTGAAATGAATTATCTATACCTTGATTTCCAGGTTTCATAAATATTTAAAAATTGTAGGTAACAATGGCGTTAAAAATGTTTATCCCATGCGGTTTATCGGTAATTTATATAAATTATAATATATTTTACAAAAATATAATTAATTAAATTATACTATTTCTTTAATATAATACTAAATATTAAACTAAAAATAGAAGAAATATAGCATAAAACTGATAAGAAAATAAAATAAAATAGGAAGAGGTTGTTTACGAAAGCATCTAGAAAGAAGACTGCTGTTGACTAAAATAATTTGCTATGAAAATAGCTCTTCAGCATCTGTGAGGAAGAAGATATTGAGATTTATCAGAGAGATTGAAGGTGTATTTTCCCAAATCTGATGAAGTATATAGCTAGTTTGTCGGAAGAATTTACGATAGTGGATATAATTCAAATGGAAATAGAATCTTTAGAATTCCGAATATTTGGCTTGAGCTGTTCTTTTTGTTCAAGTTAATTAAATTTTTGATAGAATAGAATAAATGCAATGGATCTTTCTAATAATAGCCCCATTATTTTCACGAGCACAACCTTGATTCCATCAGGCGGCTTTTCCCCGGATCAAAGTAAAGGTGGTTCAATGGAAGGTATTAAGGCCAATTTTAAGCCTCGCAGCATCAGAGAATTACATTGGAATAATTATTACATAGTTAAAGCATATTCTTATAGCATGGGTAAATTTATCGTTGATGAGTTGGAACAGATGATTGGTAGAAGCTTTATTAAAATATTTATATGAAAAAAAAAGGAAAATCTACATACTATTTTACAAATACGTAACAGATATCTACGAGAAATTCAAGATCCATCAATTAAGGAGAGACAATAATTAACTAGCGCATCTTCCAAGACAAAATAACGCTTTCTATGGACTAACCATTTTATGATATGTGAATGGAATAGACTTCATAAATAGGAAGTGAGGCTAGATGGGCGATCTAAATTTCAAACTAATATTTTTAGGGGGTTGTTAAGCTTCATTTCCTGCACTTTCATTTAATTTTAGATTCAAGATATTTTCAGATAGATTGTTTATTTCCTTTACATAAATACAAAGAGTTATAGGAATAGGAGCTGAGAGCTGCATATAGGATACGCGGATTGAAGAACTTTTTAAGATAAGAAATTGTTTCTGATTGGAAATCAGGCCAAGAAATCACAAAGCTTAATGAGAATATCATGATTTCAATTTAAATAATCATAGCAAAGTACTATACTATACAAATACATTAAATTATAGTTGGATAATAGCCAATTCAGCTTATTGTACATACATATGCCTTAGATTTTAATTTGCGAGATAAAAAAGTTTTATTCCTCTAACATATTTTTAAAATAAAGTTTTTTTATATTATAAAATGTACGTATCCTTTTGAAGATTTTTAATATTAAACTGATGAATTTTATTATAAATAAAGCTAATACATAATACAATATCCATAATTCTTATTTTTTATTATTCTTAAATCTTTACTTGTGATGAACTGACGAATTGAGTGCCATACCACAGTTCAAGAACCAAGATTTATCAATTTTTTACAACATTAAATGTTGAAAAATAAATCTTATTCCCTACAACAAACACTTCAGGTTGAGTGATAATATTTTTTTAGAACCATGGGTGACTAAACAATAACTGAAAAAGCCGGGTTGATATTTTTTAAAAAACGATAGGCAAACGGATCAGGCCGATTTAAAAACAATATGAAATAATGAATAAGCAGACGAAATTATTTTTTCAAAAACCATAAAGTTCGGGTTAAAACTAAACCTATAGGCGGGCATGCATTTTTTCTGATCTAAAGTGCGTACCAATAAATCCACAAATAGGTTACGTGAGAGATAATTATGCTATATTTTTAAGATCGCGAGACTAGGGTAAAGGTTCAAGGACGTCGTTAGTTTTTTCCAAAGAGAAGGGGGGTGGGTGCTAAAATGTCCTAATTATTTTTTAAAAAACGATTTGATGATTTTAAAAACTCTATATATATGGGGATAGGGGGGGGGGCGTCTCTCCTCGTACCTCTTATGGCGGGCTTTCGCCTGGGTTTATACCATAAGTTTATCATTTTGACTAAAATTAATTATAATATATACATGTAATCTAAGAATTCTAAATCAAATGCTCATAATCAATATAAAAAATTATTAAATGATCGATATCTAAGACCTTTTATTTTTTTGATTTTCTTATCAAATAAATTATAAAAATATTTTTACCTAGTTTTTCCTTTTATATTTTTTTTCCAAAATTAAACGTCCGCCAATTCATAAATGATTATTAAATTAATTATAAATAAGTGCAACTTTTTGAATACTCAAAAATCAACTCACAAGTGCATGTATATTAAATTTAAACAACCTTAACATATTCTATTTTTACGTTTTATTTTATTTTGTTTATCATCTATATAGCAATTTATATAATAATTATAAATAAATATCAAAAAGTATTTGAATATAAATACAAATAAAAAATATGTTTTAATTATAAATGTGAAATACCCATAAATAAATTTTGAAAAGGTATTCAAATAAAAATATTTAATCAATATTTTGGCGAATACGTTTTTTCAAGTCAATTTTGTAGTATACCACTATTTATTTATTTTTACTTAAATAAATTTTTTTAATAACCACTTTCTTATTTTCATCATATTGATAATGTTCCAGTTATTAATAATGTTCCAGTTATTAATACTGTTATATTATAGGAATTAATAAATTAAAATATTGTATATTTTGGTTATTAAATAGTAATATGTTTAAATTTTATGTAACGCGCATTCATTAACTAATAACTTATTCAAATTATATTTTTATTTTAGTTTTACTTTTCGTTTTATAACTTAACCTAATTTTATATTTTAATTTTAGTTTGGATAAAACATATATATATATAAAATAAAAAAAGTAATAAATTGAACAATTTTTTATTAGTTCTAAACAGGGTTGCCAGGTCAAAATTTTCAAATTGCGGAAGAAATATGAAAATTGCGGTAGAAATATAAAAATTTCTAAAAAAGTGCTGGCCTTTGGCCGGGATTTTGAATAGACTTAATTATCCGCCTTTATTTTTTATAATTAGTTTATATAAATACAATGTCTGTAACTATTTTTCAAAATAAAATAACATCTTAATTTATTAAAATATATTAATTTATAAAAAGACCAACGATCCTTTTTAAATATAAAAGATGTAAACAAGATAAAATTTTATAAAAAAACAATCAATATTAATTTTACAATGTAAAAAATATATTTTATGCGAATGTCCCGCAAAACATCCACAATTGTAAATCTACCTTGTGTGTGTATAACATTATACGGATAGGCGCTTAATTATCACATATTTAATACATAATAAGGTAATATTGTACTCATTTCAATGATAATTATTTTATATTATTTTTTAATCACATTATTATAATCCATAGGCATAGCCAGGGGTGGGGGGGGGGGCAAGGGGAAACCCCCCTTCAGAAATTTATCACTTTTTGTAAATATCATTTTTAGCTAATAAAAAATATCCCCCTTAGTCCTCCCCTCACTCTCTGACCCTCAAATATGTATGCATATATCTTAAATAATAATTTAAAAGAAAGAATGTAAAAGTTGATATTTTTTTATAAAACTATTCATCATAATTTATAGATTTTTGGGAAAATAAATTTATAAATATATAAAATGAACCAAAAATGTTTTTTAATAAATGGAATATAAGCCAAAGATAAGTCTTAAGACAGAAGTGAAATGTATTATAATTATTAATAATAGATCCATAAAATTAATAAATAATATAATATATCAAATATAATTTTTTATAAAGTGAGTAATTTTAATTTATTAATCTTAATAAAAGTTAAATATAATTTTAAAACTATTAATAAAATTAAATCATAAATTAAAAAAATATTAAAGCACAATACAAACAGTGGAATATTATATGTCGTAGATTTACAGTATATCTAATTATCAAATGACAATCAAGTAATTTTTACCTATATAGCAAATAATCTATTTTACAGATAACTATAAAATATTGATAAGGACATCAGAAAATATATTTTAAAGACATTGTGGGATAAATAATATGAAAATTAAATTTAAATATCATTTTTCTTAAAATAAATAGGTGGCGTTAAATAATTGAATGCAAATTGTTGCATATTTAATATCAAGAGCATTGATTAGTAAAATTTGTTAAATTATTAACTGTAATATATTCTCTAACTGTCAAATATGTTTGTAAAAGTGGAATTTTACCTAGTATTTTATAACTAATTCTATATAATAGAGTAAAATCAACTATATGTCTACTTACTTTTTATAAATAAATTACTTATAATTGTTTGGAATAAATTATTACCATGCTTTTATATTAAGGTATATACAATACAAGTAATTTATTATATTTTTATTTTATATAAACTAATAAAAATATATTTCATATAAACTAATAAAAATATATTTCATATAAACTAATAAAAATATATTTCATATAAACTAATAAAAATATATTTCATATAAACTAATAAAAATATATTTCATATAAACTAATAAAAATATATTTCATATTTGTTCCAGGCTTATATTAAAATTTGTAAAAATATTTATGACTATATATGGACAAAAGTGGCCGGGGAAAAGCGGACCGAAAGCCCGCCCAAAAGGGGGTCTGGGGGCGAAGCCCCCAGTAATTTTTAATCCTCCCCCCTTATGAAAATCCTGGCTACGCCTATGTTATAATCAGTGCAGGAGAGTGTATCTACATCCATTGCAAAACAAAAATATTCTCCAAAAATAAGATTAATACAGATGCAACTACAGTTGCGGCAATTGTAATCACTTATCTTGTAGTTCAACATTCACAGAGCTACTTATTATTACAATGTGCGTAGAATCTTCCCCCCCCCCCATTATATTTAACGACTCCAAGATAAATGAAAACTTTACTTGTAGAACAAAAATGATCAAGGATATCATCAATATTTTAGAACCTGAATTCAGGAGGTCAAT